TCGAATCACTGCTTCAAAAAATATAAAATTATCATGGTAGTATACATCTGTCAAAAATTTCTTATTTAATTAAGTTTCTTAAAAAAAATTAGTACCTAATGTAACCATGTGCATAACAGATTTATGATACTGCATTACGTGTGACGGCATTCCGGGCTAAAATCTTAAACACGACGATAAAACACGACAATTAGGTAACTACATGACATCGTGTGTTGTTTTTGATGACAAAAATTTTTATTTATCGATACGAAACAAATAAATTGATTTAAAAAATATATAACATTCAAAAATAAAGATGACGCTAATAGAAAAATTGTAAAGTCATCTGATTTTTTCTAATAATAAATTAATATAAAGTGTGAAATGTTATTCGTTCGTATTTCGAATTTTCTTAATTTTAACTCATTTTCTATTTAAGAACTTTTGTAGCCAAAGACCGAAGCTATAAGTCATTTAATGATGTTAAATTTTAACATTTTTTCCTTTTACTTTTGTTTATGGTTATTTTATTTTGAATTCTACAGAACTGGCCAGTGTAAAAAAGACGTGTGGCACTAGGGGACTGCCGCGGTAAAGCTATTGCAAAGCATTTTTTATCAACTTATGCAATTACAATTAGACAATAAGAATTTAATACTAAAACAATAATAAAGACCACGCTATATTTATAAGCATTAACAAAAGCAAAACATAAACTGTCCCCTTCACACTCATAAGCTAGACCGCGTGAGAGAGAGATGGGCAGACTTTTCATGATGCTCATGCAGTGCGACGTCACGCCGCGCGCTTATTCACAAACACTACACCAGCGCAACGTGTGAATGTGTTGAACGCGAGCTACATAGTAGGCGTAGTGGGGGTGTCAAGTTATTTTCGTTACGGAATTTCTTGATTCAGTCGCCGCGCTCAAGGCCCGCGATAAAAGTTATGCAATAGCTTAAAAACAAATCAAATAAACAGATAACAACACAAATTCAGAAAATATTATAAAGATGCTGGGAAATGTTCCTCTGAATTATACATAGTTGTTGGGAATTTAAAGCAACATTTGTTTTAAATATATTTAAAATATAGGAATTATTATTGTTATATGCCAAACAATTATTATACGTAGCTTTTCTTTCAGCATGTCAGAGTATAAACGTAATAATGATAACAGTAAGGCGCAAAGTGCTTGTAGTTTTAATATAATCTTTTGTACGAAATTAACATCCATGCAGGTACCAGTAATAAAGTAGTGCGTGCCATGTCGTGTAAATTTTTAATGAAGTACATTGTAATATACTCTGGTATTTGAAAAACTGTGGTCTTGTAGCAATGAACTTGTTTTTAAATTAGTAACTGCAATGCAATTTTAACATAAATTCACATATGTATCCTAGAATTCTGGTACAATGATAGGCGATTTATGTACAATTTAATACCTTACCAATAAGCTTGCGCTACATCAGCTCTGCTTAATCAGACATTCGAAGGATTTAACAATAATACCAGCTACGTCATCCCATCGATGAAAGTTTTCGACGTTTGATTCCCGTTGAAATTCTCTTGATCCGCTTAAATTTCATCCTTATCATTTCTATATTTATTTAATGTTAATAATAACTTAATAAACAAAGACAATTAATGTACTAATCACTTCGTGTACCAATGTGTTTTAGTACATTTCAGTGAATCAGTTTTGATTTACTGTGAGATAAAAGACACACTAAATTATTTCATAGAAAATGTACTATTTTCATACTGAATTGCAACAAGATCGTTTTTGTGGCTTTGATGTGAAAACGTAAAAGTTTACGTTCGCGTTAATAATATTATTATTTGCTATGTAGCTTGTAATAACCACTATTTATAGAAACCAATTTAACTGTGATTCATGACATTAACAATAAAAACATCGGTAACTGGTTACTAGACATTTGCTAACGCAGCTTAGGTGTTTGGATATGGTTTATTCATTTAAAAATCTGCATAGCTATTGCATTATTTCTATAATTTATAATAAAAATAATCATTGCTGACACTTCAAGTTGCCTCTGGTAAAACACCGCTCTCCTCTTTTGTGTCCAATTGAAAAAGAAATAAGCAAACTCATATTTCACAATTTCCACCTAAGTATACGTTATAAATCAAACAACATCATTAATTTTTCTATTCGAATTCAAAACAGCTTTCGAACCCATTGTAATTTTTTATTCAACAATCAAAACAAAATAACAAGATAAAAGTCATCCGCGGCACAATAAGTAAGACACGCGATATACATATTATTATCAGGCGATGCGAGTTGCGAGCGTACCTTGGTTCGAATCGTAGGACTGCAAGTAACATTATTTTTCTAAGTAATTACTAATTAAGTACTAGTACATAAACGACTTCGACAGTGGAGGACTAAATTTTTTTTTATTGCTTAAACGGGTGGACGAGCTCACAGCTAACCTGGTGTTAAGTGGTTACTGAAGCCCATAGACATCTATACCGTAAATGCGCCACCCACCTGAGATATAAGTTCTAAGGTCTCAGTATAGTTACAACGGCTGCCCCACCCTTCAAACCGAAACGCATTACTGCTTCACGGCAGAAATAGGCAGGGAAGTGGTACCTACCCGTGCGGACTCACAAGAGGTCCCACCACCAGTAAAAAATTCTTCATTGCTAGGTCGTGTCTAATTTTAAATGCTCACCACTCGATGCACAATACTTTCCCACGTCTTCCTATCCTCGGCGGTCTTTACAGACTCGGTTATTGGCAGGCCGGTGAGCGTCTTTACTAGATCAGACCAGCGGGTAGGTGAGCGTCCGCGTGATCTTCTCCCGTCAACTTGACCAACTACCATCAGCTTCTCTAAGTTATCGCCTCTACGAGCGATATGACCGAGCTACGTGAGAATACGTTAGAAGCACACAGCAGACAGCCTTGTTGCAATACCGAGCTCTTTCAGAATGGATAAGTTGGTTCGGCATGCTATCTCTGGAATTCGCAACATCCGTCTCCAACACCACATTTCAGTGGTTGCTGTTAATCGGGCGTATTGTAAGCTCACACAGGATATATATGCATATCACCGTCCTGTTTGTTTCTGACTCGCTGCTTTTAGTGGTCCCCGTTCTCATTGAAGCCGTCGAATGCAACGAAGAGTTCGTCGTGAAAATTAACCCGCAGACACAGCCCACTGAGTTTATCACCGGGTCGTCTCAGTGGGTCGCGATTCCGATCTTCCGACAATGCCCTTGCTAGAGCTAGTGTTAGCAAATTCGGCAAGCTGAGCACCATGAGCTCAAAAAAAGTTCTGAACCAAAAGAGGATGTTCATCTTTACATGTCTTCTCACCTCAAGATTCATGGCTATGTTCTTGGTATAACCACCACCACCATTGCCTGTGGGTTCGTGTATTACGCAACATCAGCATAAAGAGTTTCGCTTGCACAACTGCAGCGTAAATAAAAAGCTGAAAAGCTTAAAATTTAAACGATACGACTAACTTCACTTTATTTGAAACTACAGAACAGAATGCATACATACAAGTACCATGCAGTAACTCGTTTTACCGCTCAATTTTCCCTATATCCATTAAACTCAAACTACTCATACTTATGGATGAACACTAAAGGTATTTTCAAATCACCATAAACCCACGTATCCTGTGCAGAATGAAGCATTACTTTAACAATCATTTCTTTATAGACCATTTCGAGTCATGTCATAAGCAAAATCCATAATGGGAGGCTACCTAAAATTCTTGCCGGAACACGACAGGTACTTCGCAAAACCTACTGCATTCATTAATCTTTCTTTTGTCTCAGTGAAAGCGTGCTCTTTGAAGATGTTCGTAATTAAATTTTAATCCTAACCTATTCATCTTGGAACACTTCGCATTTAATTTCATTTCGCGTATTGTAACCTCAAAAACTAAGCACGTGAGTTTAAAAAATAATAATATTATAATAAATTCATACCATTACATTCATTCATACATTCATTCACTCATACCAAACCATATAAATTAAAATCTTAAAATACAAATTTAATAAAACAACATTTGGAAGTCTTATTAATAAAGTTTATAATTATAATTTTTTATTTACAAAAGTAGACACTTCTTGTTCGCCTTTTGGATTTACAAGTCAACCTCATATATTGGTACAATATAATGCTATCTTTAGGCATCTACGAGATTATTCACTATGCATAATTTAATTAAAAATAACGTACAAATCATAGAATTACGTATAATGAATATAATGGACACATTTATGTGTTTAAATCGTATTGAAGTCTGAAACGGCATGTTTATTCATGCCACTGCCATTCCAACGCATCACAATGGGCAATACATTGAATTAAAGCTAATTAAACCAATAGGTATTTATGTTGCATCCTGATATTACTGCGTCGAATTCCCGCTAGAATCAAATGCAAAACGTATGTCGTATATCATTCTAAATATTTGATTTGATGACATTAAGATATCTAATAGAATATTTAATATTTAAGGCAATTTTACGGATTTATCTCGTGTCTATCTTTTTTGTTTGTCGCTAAATTATGTAGACGAGCTCACGGCTAAACTGGTGTTATACCAATGCCCATATACATCAACAACCGCCACCCACCTTGAGACTTGAGTACTAAGTCTCAATTTCTACAATACGACGGCTGCCCCAGCCGTCAAACCGAAACTTATTATTGCTTCACAATAGAAAGCCATCTACTTAAAGAAAAATATTTTTTATAAAGCTTTTTGGGTATTTTACACATACAACAACAAGTTTCGGTTTCCTAATTATGTTTTGATATTAGGTACTCCGAATCTAATTTTTTTGTACACTTTTCCACTCAAATATACTGTAAGAGGTTTGCGACAAAAAAATTCATCGAATTTCGTAAAAAATTGCAATATCGTTTTTTATTTGAAGTTTCAGAACAATGATGCTCAAATGCTCTTTTCACTTATTCGAAATGATGATTTTACAATGATTTTATTTGTTTTTTACAGATTTTACTGGGACTTATGCATGCTGCTACTTCTTGTGGCGAATTTAATCATCCTACCAGTTGCCATCTCCTTCTTCAACGATGACCTTAGCACGCGCTGGATCGCCTTCAACTGTCTGTCCGATACCATATTTCTAATAGATATCGTTGTTAATTTTAGAACAGGTAATCTTTTATCCAATTTATAAATTTCTGGACGCATTTTATAATATACCCAAAAATCAAATGCTGCAATAACTTTTTATATTATTACAGGAATAATGCAACAAGATAATGCAGAGCAAGTAATACTAGATCCAAAGTTAATAGCGAANGCCTTCAACTGTCTGTCCGATACCATATTTCTAATAGATATCGTTGTTAATTTTAGAACAGGTAATCTTTTATCCAATTTATAAATTTCTGGACGCATTTTATAATATACCCAAAAATCAAATGCTGCAATAACTTTTTATATTATTACAGGAATAATGCAACAAGATAATGCAGAGCAAGTAATACTAGATCCAAAGTTAATAGCGAAACACTATTTGAGGACTTGGTTCTTCCTGGACCTCATCTCTAGTATACCACTAGATTATATATTTTTGATCTTCAATCAGGTAAACGTACGTTGCAATTTGGCCGTGTTGTTCTTATTACTAGTTTTAATCTATCTTTATGTTGTTGATATTCTGTTTCAGCTTCGGTGTTCATTTGTTTTTAGAGTGTTATTTTGTTCTTTTTAATTTGTATTGTTTTATTACTCACCTGTGAACCTCTTACCCAACCGCTGCGAGAACCTCTCCGTCATCGTGTATCAAATTAGTGTCTCATGATTTAAGGTCTAAGAAATGTTCCAAGGTTTGCTAGCACCACATATATGTCACCGTTACTTTCAGTATCATTATGTAGCTTTTCGCACATTTACTGTTTGCACGTTTCTGGCCCCTCACTGGTAATTCATTTGAATGATCACAACAATATAATTCATTTGTTCTTAGCCGTGCAGACGGCGTTAAGTCTTTAAATTTGGTCTCTTGTTTGAATTATCTTTTCACTGTGATAATCTATCCAATAAGCACTTTTTCAATACCTGCACATTATACCAGGACTATCTTTTCACAATACAGATCACTTGCTGTTTTAAGGATATCTGCAGTTGTTATCTTCGCTGTGACAGCTACTTTTACTTCATAATCGCTTTCTGTATTCTTGATCACGTGACAATCGCACGTCTTCTTCTCTTCATATTTCATTATATCTTTATCAACCATTTGTGGCATAGTTACAGCATGTTTTTTTTATTAATTTTTTTATTGTAAAACTTCTTGTTCTTTTCATGATTTTTTTTTATATATTTTGCAAGATACAACACGACCAAATTGCATATTATGCAACACTTGTAATATTATATTTTAAAAGTTTTAAGAAAACTTTCAGCAATGACAGCAACTGAGCTTAATATAATGAAATAGGTCACCAATATATCGTTGCTATCACTAACAGAATTCTTAGTCTCTTTATAACCAGGATCGCTGTCAGTGGTGGTAAAGATTACTAAATTCTTATATCGCTCAGCGATCGTTTGAGGGAAAACGTTATTAATGATAAAATCGTCAATGCGCGTAATTAATTGCATTTGTATTATGTGCGCATGCATTAACTACATTCTACAACTCTACTTCAAAGGTATACTGCTTAAAGAGGAAGTATTATAGGACAATACTTTGTCTTCTGAACACATAAAAATAGTTTGTTTTAATTTAATATTATTATTGTATTTATATTTTTTTTCGATAAAGCAATGTGCCTACCGCAGCACTCTCTGCACCATCCTTGGTTAACCGGTAGAGATGCTTTGAAAAATAAGTCCGCGATTGCACTCTTTTGCTTAAAGTTCAATAAACAAAAAAAAAACGTATGAAAACGTAAGCTTTATAACATACATTTGAAGCAGACCAAATCAAACTTTTTTTTAGTAAAGAAAGCGTTGAGTCTCTATATCGGACAAGGATTAATAAGACACGTGTTTAGTTAAGTGACTAACGGATATTGGGATTACAACCTAACGTGCTATCGACAGCCCGACAATCCCGAGACTTGCGTAGCATCATTGCAATATAATTATCGCTAACACATACATATAATTATTAGTTGCTATGGGGACATTTGTGGTTCCTACAAAAGTTTTAAAAATCCAAAACAGCGATCCTGTTTCTATCCACACCCGTAACTATTACGATTGTAAATTTTTCAAAAACATAATTATAACATGTTCGTTACGCTTCAGCACTTTTCTTTGGCTGGCAAAAATCTTTGAAATCAGTAAATATGCATGTCTTACCGAATTATGTAAGATACAATGCCTGTTCATTGTGTGCTCTGAAGGTGACTCTGAGAGCATCAAAATATATATCGTTTACCAAAAACAATATAGATCTGTTTTAACAGGATTTCAGTGAAAACTTTCAAATACTACATGCGGGTCGCGCGCTGAGGATACTCCGATTAGCAAAGCTGCTATCATTGGTTCGACTGCTCCGTCTCTCCAGGCTCGTCCGATATGTCTCACAATGGGAGGAAGTATATGTAAGCCATCATCATCTGTTCCGAGCAACACATTCAATTTATTAAACTTACTATCCTACTGTATTACCACTAACACTGCTCTAACTACATTACGCTCACATATACTTAACATGACTAATAAAATAAAACAATAATATTGGATTAAGCTGTATTAAATTAATAAAATATATAATAAAAATGATGAATGATTCAATGATAATGTTATTAATCTGAAATTGTTTTAGTGCGTAGTGATCCTAAGATGTCTGATGGAGTTTGTTGTATTGTAATCCTGTATTATATACCATTGATCCCACCCTCCACTGTATTTGAGCCCAAAGTCCCGCTCTGCACTTCTCTACTGCTTCTCTGCAAGCTTCTTTCTGCCTGAGCACGCTCTCACACGTGACGTCTGATCTATCTTTTCTCTCTATGAGCCCGCGCCGCGACCGCGTCCTCGCGTCTGACCCGAACCGACTCACACTTGCCAACACGACATATTTATTATTTGCAAAATTATCAATAATATTTATTTGCCGCTTCTCAAGGCCTTTAGAATCGATCTGCTGAAGCTAAACACCAAAATTTCAAAAATTTCAAAACGCACCCATCGCGCGTATATTTAAAATAATTAAAACAAAACACACACTCAAATTATTAAAATCCCAAAATAAATCTGTTCCATTCGCGGGTAGAATGAAAATTCAAAATGTCGCTAAAATACCTCAATCGGGCAATGATTTCTTAAATTAAACCAAACATTCCATTCTAATTGGCAAAAAGTTTCGTCTAAAATCGTAAAAAAGCGGAGAGTCAGTGAGAAGTGGAGTACGGGGAGGGTGACGGCTACGACATCGCTGTGCCGGTGTTGTGTGCAGATGAGTCCCGGGCCGCAGCCGCGCGACGAGCCAGCCGACGCAGACGGCAGCGGCTCACGTGACCTCTTCTCGCAGGTGCAGCATGTCGCCCGCGCCCACCAGCGCCTAGAGTAGGGGATTAGCCCGTATACCACTCGTCTCGATGTTAGTGCATTCTATGTGTGCCGCACGCCCCCCCGGCCCCGCTCCGCCCCGCACACCCCGCGACTACCTTTGCCCGTCGATCCCGCCCGCGCTTCGGGCGCGCCTGGCTCTCTTCCTACTATCTCGTGTTTCTCGCTTGTTTTCTAGATCTTGCAGAATCTTCAAAAAAAGCGCACGGAAAGAAGGGGACGTCTGAGCTCCGACTTTGCCAAAAAGAAGGGGCACACCAAAAGCAATCTGATCTTCAAGGTAACCAGGGTCGGCACGAGCCGGCGCGCATGTGCTCGTTCGCCCGCTTAGCATGTTGCCGGCGGCGCCGCCCGGCGTCCTCTAGCCCGCTGCGTACGCTTCGCTTACTGTTTGTTTGTCGTTTCTGTTTGGCCCCCCTGGTCCTGCCGACGGGCGCGCGGGCGGACGCGCGAGGGCGCGGCTCGCGTGACCGTGAGGCGGCCGCGGCCACGCGACCCGCTCCAAGCCGCCACCAAGCATGCCGCTCCACGACTCGTCTCACGCGTTCATGTTTTGTTTCACACTTCTTTACGACAATTCATCGGTAGTAAATCATCGCGAAGCTTCAACTCGAGCGTCCTTATCGCGCGCAGTCCGCACGGCTTCCTTTAGAGGCGGAATGAACCGATTTGTTCTGAGGAGCTAATAAATATGTTCTCTTTACAGTTTCTCAACATGGCTTCCGTGTTCATGCGGATATTCAACTTAATATGTATGATGCTGTTGATCGGCCATTGGTCCGGATGTCTACAGTTCCTGGTTCCTATGCTGCAAGGATTTCCACCAAACTCGTGGGTTGCTATAAACGAGTTACAGGTCATTATTTCCATAATTAATTTTGATATTAGAAGACAACTTGAATATGTTATTCAAAAATCCGTTACCAACTTTTAAAACTATTATTACGCAAATTCATATCATAATAAAAAGAACGCTAGAGATTTCTATTCATGAACAATGAAATAAACATGAATGAGAGAGAACGAGATAAATAACTTTACCCAAAAATTTATAGGGAAACCTAAATAACAATAGTTTCGTACCGTTTCAGGAGGCTTTTTGGTTAGAACAATATTCATGGGCGCTGTTCAAGGCAATGTCACATATGTTGTGCATCGGTTACGGACGGTTCCCTCCTCAATCACTCACCGACATGTGGCTCACGATGCTCTCGATGATATCAGGAGCCACTTGCTACGCGCTCTTCCTAGGTCACGCAACCAATCTCATCCAGAGTCTCGACTCTTCACGCAGGCAATACCGTGAAAAGGTAACACGGATTTGTTAAATACATATCAAACCATTCTTCATGTTTTTTAAATTATCCCCTAAATTGTTATGAACACCTACATATATAAACCTCTGGCACCGTAACAAAATAAAAATAATAAAAGTTTCTAAAAAAAATAGATAAAACATTACCGGCCCCAAATAATACACGCATGTGCTTAATAAAGCAGATCATTAAAGCAACCATTGCCTGTTTCAGAGATTAGACGTGAGTACAGAGCAGAATGTGTGTTTAGTGTTATATAGTGTGTGATCTTCATGAATTCATCAATATCTGCACAAATTAATAATTCATAAACGTGTGTCAACTAACATTAAAGATTCATACAGCATATCATTATTGTACAGAACACGTTTTTGAAGTTATACTTCTTTAGGCGCGTTATGAAAAATTTATGAGAGTGAAATTTTACGATGCGCACGCATCGTGACACAAAATTAACAGAATGAAGTTGCCCACCAAATTGCTCATTACAATACGACCGACGTAACTTGGCCAGTCTGAATATAGCCGCAGGTGAACTTTCCGAACCGTACCGAGAATTACCGAATTTATACGATGTCAAGAAAAGGGTTGTCCAATATGCGTGTTTGAGGATGTTGTTTAATCGATTTTTTTTCAAATTGATTAAAAAAAAAAAAGAAAAAGAAATAAATTTAATAAAAATAAAGTATAACTTCTTAAGCGCGTACATAAGTACACGCACCCTTTTTTTATTAATGGGTGTTCATAACAGTTTACTTCACAACGGTATCTCTAACCATATGGATTGTTAAAAGCGTGAATACACAGTTTGTTCCTCAGGTTTCATCTTCTAACGAAGGTTGGCAGTCATTAATGCGATTTAGAACTTAAACACCACAGTTCGAAACAAATATTGGGGGCTTTTGTTAAACTATTGGCACAGGTTTTCCCGCCAGGTTGATTTCTTTATCCTGACAGTCCTCTTTCCTTAAAGGACAAAGGAGATCTAATTAATGTGCTATGTAAATAGCAAGTTTCTTTCACTGTCTAATTGTACATAAGCTGTGGGGGTATTGCATGTGTGGCAGTGTGTTTTAAAAAACATATACCTACCTATCCTGGAAATACTTTTAAAATTGTTCTATATTAAATTCTAGGTGAAACAAGTAGAAGAGTACATGGCGTATCGCAAATTACCACGTGAAATGCGTCAACGTATCACCGAGTACTTCGAACACAGATACCAAGGGAAATTCTTCGATGAGGAAGTAATTTTGGGCGAGCTGAGCGAAAAACTGCGCGAAGATGTCATCAACTACAACTGTCGCTCACTTGTGGCCTCTGTACCTTTCTTTGCAAACGCCGACTCCAACTTTGTATCAGATGTCGTCACCAAACTACGCTATGAAGTATTTCAGCCCGGTACGTGTGACTGTTTAATATTTATAAAGCTAAAACCGACGGACCCATCAACACTTTATCAAGTTCAAAGTGTTTTTGACTTCCTGCTTAATGAAATTCTGCTCCGTATTTTTTTTTGTTATTTTTATTTATTTCTTAGATGGGTGGACTAGCTCACAGCCCACCTGGTGTTAAGTGGTTACTGGAGCCCATAGACATCTACAACGTAAATGCGCCCACCCACCTTGAGATATAAGTTCTAAGGTCTCAAGTATAGTTACAACGGCTGCCCTACCCTTCAAACCGAAACGGCCGGCCCGGCCTATTATTGCTTCACCTACCCGCGCGGACTCACAAGCGGTCCTACCACCAGTAATTACGCAAATTATAATTTTGCGGGTCTGATTTTTATTACACGATGTTATTCCTTCACCGGGGAAGTCAATCGTGAACATTAATTTGTTGAATACGTATTTCATTAGAAAAATTGGCACCCGCTTGCGGGATTCGAACACCGGTGCATCGCTTCAACACGAATGCACCGGACGTCTTATCTTTTAGGCCACGACGACTTCGAATATAATTTCTTTCCAAAAATATTAACTTAAAAATTTACAATGCACTTTTTGCTTGTTCTCAGGTGACATTATCATAAAGGAAGGAACAATAGGAAATAAAATGTATTTCATCCAAGAAGGCATCGTAGATATAGTCATGGCCAACGGTGAAGTTGCCACCAGTCTATCCGACGGTTCGTACTTCGGAGAAATCTGCTTGCTAACAAACGCTCGCAGAGTAGCATCCGTCCGCGCCGAGACGTACTGCAATCTGTTCTCTTTGTCGGTGGATCATTTCAACGCCGTGCTAGACCAGTATCCGTTGATGCGACGCACGATGGAAAGTGTCGCAGCCGAACGACTGAACAAGATCGGCAAAAACCCGAATCTGGTGGCGCACCGCGAAGACGACACGACATCCGAAGGGAACACGATCAACGCAGTGGTTAACGCTCTCGCGGCAGAAGCAGAGCACGTGAGTCTGTCAGACGACAGTGTGGCACGACTGTCGGAGAGGTCGCTGGGGCTAGCACTGCAACCGCTGCAGGCGGCATCGTGTCGCATGGCAGGTGTAGCCCTACCGGGGCTGGGCGTAGCGGCTGCGCTGCCGCGTCCCAAGTCGGAGCACGACTTCAGTTCGACGCAGGCTCAACCGCCGTCGTTGTCGTCGGTCGGAGCCGCCTTCCACAAATCGGACGCGGGCATCGCACCCTGACGCCGCACGCTCTGCTAGGCCTGCCGCGGCACGCCGCGACGCGACGCGACGCTCCCGACACTAGGCTTAGTGCGAGGGCCGCTCGCTAGTTGTAGCGTAGACTCGACTCTAGTAGCTGCGACTTCGCCGGCCGCCCGCCGCGCGCGACGCCCCTTGAATCTCATTTTGTGATCTTATACTTAATTCTCCTGTGTTATAATTTAGGTTAAATTTTATATCATTGACGCTGTGAGGAATCGACGAATACGTGACGTATTCCGATTGTATAGATATAAATGTATACCTGTTGTGTATTGAAAAAAACGATTACTATTAAATCTTTATAGGGAGATCTTTATAGATACCTTGCCATTATTAAAAGAAAGAATAATGATTTAGACTAGACTGAAATTTAAAAATATCAATATTTTATGCTACATGTAATGACGTTTGAAATTGATCTTTGTTGATACGGGGTATTCGATGGCGAAACGGTGGGATATAAGTGCATAGTAATAAATCAACGTGCCTGAATAACACGGTTCAGAGACTTTATATTGTTCCATCGATTTCCGTTCCATTATTTTATTTTACTGTGTAACAGTGTTATTGAATCGTTGCGGAGTACGTGGGGAGGTGACATTTATGACGCATTCTCGCCTAAAAATTATGATTTACAACTAAGTTAACTTGTTTCGATTATCAGTTAAGCTTTCAATTGCGGACTAAACAGAAAAGGAACAGCAGCCTTCTAATATTCTTCTAACGTTAAACACAAGAATTACAAGGAAACATTCCTTAGTAGGTATATATCTAATTGCGCCTCACAAAAATCTCACGCTGTACAAGTGACGCACAAGTTAATTCTCACATACGATTCAAATAGCATACGTTGCTTTGTTTAACTTTAATTATAAGTAGTTATATTCACCGATATAAAAGGGCATAATTAGCGCCAGCATTAATATCTCGGTTTCCTAAGTAGAGGTGATATAGTTAGAGCTTCGGAAGTTTCGAGAATTATTTCTGATGTAAATATATTTTATTGTGAGTTTGCGCGTTTATGCGGTTCGATAAATTTACGTAAGTCTAGGGGGCGTTCGGTCGAGCGGTTCAGTCAATTAATCCGTGCTCTCGCGGCGCGAGACGGACGTCTCTTATCTCAATGCACCACTAAACTTCATAATTTCATTTTAATTGTAGGCGAAAATAATTTATTGTCGATAGTGATCATTTAGTAGTAATAAGTAGGCCAAAGCGTTAACAAATTCGGACGAATTACGTATGTGATAGTGGGAATGCTAAAGCTGCACGCGCTTCGGCCGTACTCTCCGCGACCGACATTAGCGTAGCTCGAATGCATGCAACACGTGCTTCAGGACACCGGAAATTAGTTTCACGTTCCATTACTCCAACTATACGCGTTCGATTCACTCGGAACTGGAACGATTGCTTATCAATAAGGCTTGCCTNACAAATTCGGACGAATTACGTATGTGATAGTGGGAATGCTAAAGCTGCACGCGCTTCGGCCGTACTCTCCGCGACCGACATTAGCGTAGCTCGAATGCATGCAACACGTGCTTCAGGACACCGGAAATTAGTTTCACGTTCCATTACTCCAACTATACGCGTTCGATTCACTCGGAACTGGAACGATTGCTTATCAATAAGGCTTGCCTGTATTCACACCACTGTAGACACTTATATAATTAGGGGAATAGTTTTAATGAGCGACATATCCTAGCGAAGCTCGGGAATAGGGTCGCGGAGCGGACGTCCCGGAACGCGAAATCATCATCGTTGATTAATACTTAGTGTCATGACAAATTTGTAAATGACGATTTTGCGAATGTTGAACTTTAGCCAAAATATAGTTAATGAATGAAGAACCAATATGCATTAGCTTTCTTTGTAGAAAAACGCAGCCTAGTTCAGATCGACAATTAACACCAATAGATACTTTATATACTCATAAGATTTATATATTGATCATAGCAGAAATATTATCTGTCAATTTATCTACAAAGAGAATAACAAAATATTATTGCGTTTCATTCCCAGAGGCATTTATTTATTGTTATTTTATCAATCTAACATTAATGCTTTTATAAATTATATAAATTTTATAGAAGAAATCTATTTTTGATTGTGAAGTTAAACTAATGATTGTATGAAAGAGAATCTATTACTATATCAAAAAAGAGTTTTAATTTATAAATGTTATTTGTTAATTATTTAAAAATAATTTCTGGTAATTATCTATTTTCACCAAAAGTGCTCATCGCTGTAAACAAATTAGAGAAAATGCATTAAAAGAATGAAGAAAACTGTTCAGTTGTTTGATTTTATTCTACTAGTAGTAAGCTTAGTTTCATTCCAATCAAGTAGGAACTGTTTCCTGTCCCTCCTATAAGTACCTACTTGCAGCAAAGTAGTCCTATGTCCGGTATTCAGAATGGGATACCTGTGATATAATAAATACAAGTTTTAAGAAACAACTTGGCTGTACTTCTGGTTAAATCATTGTCCATTAGTGGCTATGACTACTTACCTTCAGGAGGCGTATGCTCGTGTGCATAAAATGGTAATAAAAAAGTGTAAATATAATATATATATAAGTCGGCTGGGCGTCCTTGGGGTGAGCCGCGCCGTCTGGTTGTAGTGTTGACCGCGGTAGCCCCCCTACCTCATTCGGGTTCTGACCTCGGAGGGGATCGGACGTCGGGTGTAAGAGTGCAGGGGAGTCGTTTAGTGGGTGGGTACTAAAATCCTTGGGCCCGCGGTCTGCTCACAACACCATGCAGACCGTTGAGTCTCACATACCCCGCGCGCCCCTTTTGCGCGGGGACCTCGTAGGAGGTTCGGCCCTCTAACCGAAAAAAAAAAAAAAAGGATCAAACTCATATTCCAAGGAGGGTTTCGCGTTACGATATCTTTAGGTTTCGATATCCGGTGGGTCGCGACATAAACATTTAACACAAGCAGAGAAAAAATATAGAAACTGTTAGGCCTACTTGGTTTCACATCCTCATAGCCTTACATTGATACCCATCATACATGCTAGAACATAATATGCAGCCCTAGTGTGAGATATCAACAGAATCACGGTCTCACGGTCCACGTGCTTGAAGTGGTTACCAGAGTCCGTAGGTATCATACTGTGAATGTGACCACCCACCATGAGACATGAGGTCGAAAGCTCTATTGTATTATACAACAGTTGTGCCACCCGTTAAAACGGGAACGCATGACTATTTCAGGGCAGAAATAGACAGAACGGTTTACCTACCCTACTATACAATTAAATACTGATTAGCGATCGCAGTACACTGGTACATTCTGAAAACACTGCTGCTCATTCTCCGGTGAATAGGCATGATGACTAATTTTCAAAATCTATTCTATGATATTCAGAAGTATCTATTATGTCAAAAATATATCATATTTCTGTAGAAAATAAAGGCGTAATTTTTAGCGTAATTCGCTCTGATTGGTGTTTAAGCTATCATGGCTGATTCTTGTATTTTTTAGATTTATTTTAGCAAATAAATCATACATCTCGTCAATAATATGAAAATAAATACATTTTTCAAAATCCTTGAATTCTGTTTCATTAGATCAATTAAATATTTTGGGGATTTTGTCATCATGCCTATTCCATAATCGCCTTTTACGATATTCGCGGAAAGAGATGGGCTGATGCTATTCGAAACCAACACAGCCGACACAGTCATCTTTTTACTTTTCAGTTCATATAATAATATATAAATTTTGTACGTTCATAACAATCTCTCCAATTTTAACTTTATTTAGGAAATCAAAATCAGTTCCACTAAAAAAAGGTTTGCTAAACGTAGTCATAAGACACATAAAAATTTAGTCATGACTCCTACTTTTTTGAAATCCATTTAAACGACTAATTTTTGCAAAGTTAATAAGCTATTCGTTCATTATTCGCTAGTTATTCGAAGGTAATACGCTATTTTATTAGCCAAATAAATATATCTGTCGTCGAAGATGAACATTTAATGTGATTTACTAGTCCACTTATTGATTATATTAAAATGTAATTAATAAGATATAATTTTTTTAGTTAAATAAAATAATAGAGATAAGAATCGATACATTGCACGAATAATGAACACGGCGTTAAAGTATTCGTTTAAAGTTATTTATTTTATGTGTTTAACAATCATAGCTAAAGTCTATCTAAGCCGTACGTTTTAACCATTTGCCAATGTTACATTTAAAACAACACATTGACGTTTTGTTAATGTCAATCATTGTCACCGAAGTAAACGGTCTAAAAACGTGTGATAAAATTCTCAGTGATTGTTGCAGTTGATTTGATGTCAGATAGGAAGTTTTAGAAAAATGTTTCGGACCAAGCATAAGTTATAAAAAAAACCACGTCTAAATAAACGGAAATAACGTCCGTTACTAAAACACCATATTTTTTTATTCCTAGTAAATTATAAGTTCTGTAAATTAAACCTGGATTGAAGATGTCGACTAGGAGAGCGAGAATAAAAGCTGTAGCGGCACTTCCGCCTCGTAGGAAAAATGCTGAAAACTCGGAGAATAAGAATCAACAAGGCCCAAGTACTAATGATCTTCAGAACGTTCCAAAAAGTCCAAATGCTACTAAACATGACAATGTGGCAAAGACATACCAGCGTGCTTCGGTTGCTAATTCACCATCGAAATCTCCACATAGTAGTGTGATAACGCAGAATACAGATAGACAACCTCATGTTAATAGAGCTGCAACACCGGTTAACAAAGGGAACATAACTCCTAAGCTATCTGATAGAGTGTCGGTAATTACTTCTACTGCAGGGGTTAAATCCGGTGTTTTTGCATCTCCTCACGCTAAAAGTAGCCCTTTAAGGAAATACATACCGTCACCAGTGCTGGCTGCAATGAATACGGCTGAAGTAACTAATAAAGCGGTTACTCCTGAAAAAAGTGATGCAAAAAAGAATAGTGATAGTACAAAGTCTAGTGGGAATAACAGTACTGAGATTATACAAAAGATCAGTGATTCTGAAAGTTCTACGAGTAAAAGTGGCACAAACACACATAGAAGTGACATTCCAGATGGTAAGAAATGTTCAAAATGCACACAAAAGCTGTAGTCATTTTTATTGAACAACTTTTTCAGATGCTTTTCAAGTTATATTTAGAACATATTTCATAATATGTACTATCTTAAAATTTAATCCACTTTTCCTCTGCCAACCTATATAAATGAAAAATAATTTTAATTATAATGGGACTTCAATGTACAAGTAGTATTTTAAATATAATTTTGTCAGTACCAAAAAAAGTCTTCAATAATTTTTATTACTGGCCTGTTCTTCAATCCCACCTTTATCTATATAAAACTGATTATAAGTTACAAGTTTTACTGAAGTCTGCGGCGGTGGGCCGTATTCTCGTTTGCCAACAAGGGCAATAAAAAAAAAGAAATATATGCAAAAACAAAATCCCCAATGCTTTTTATCCTTTGCTTGTTATCCCAAATGCTTAACAATTTCAGATTATAGTGTACCAAGTGTACCTGAGAGTATCACAGAAGATCCTATGGATGGTATTGTACCTCTACAGCCAGTTAGTGCACCAAAACCAATAGCTTTGCTCAAAAATGAGATTATATCAGAAAATGTGGAGGTTCTGTTTGATCCCATTGTACCTCTGCCTTCACCCAGCAAAGTGCGACCAAAGCTACGGCCCGTGCCTCGATTGGGGCCCCTAAGAAGGAACAGTGTGCAGGTTATTTGTTTTATAACATTTATTTTTTAATGCACACTTAAATATATACCATATTATATGTCTACTGCTCTCATCATACTGCCTGATGCCCATTGATGCCCATTACTGCTGCACGAGTAGTCTAGCAGTATGCATGGAGCATCTGAAACTAGCGGCAACCACTTGACATCAAGTGAAAAAAATAATTTAAATCTAACCATAATTTTAATTTTCATAAGACCTCCAAGAATCATTTGCATTGGAACTGTCTCATAGAATCTGTGACGTCAAAAGTTTTTTTTTCATATATCTATACTGGAATATGAAAATGTGAGGTTCGAAATGACATGTACAAATAATAATACAATCCACACACACTTGGCTTTGTTCTCAAAATTTAAACAAAATGTTTTCATAATTTCGGACAATTAATACAATTTTCAACTTCATTAAGGATCTATTCATAAATACACCTGTTAAAACAATTTCCATGAAATAATTTCCATGTAAGCATTATGTAATAATTTTTCAATATACAGATATGAAAAATAATTTGTTACATGATTATGTATACATTAGCTTTTTAAGGTCGATTCATACAAGCATGCTGGTAGCTTGCAAGTCGTCAGATTGTATGTCCTACCATTAAAATTGATCATCATAAAAATAGACGTCAGAAGTAAGACAGACAGGTCAGTGATACCTACCTACTCATCCAAGCTACAACATCCCCTACCAACAGTAAATAGGCAAATTATACAATGTTTTTATTATCATTATTCCTTTATTATGAAAATTAATTGTGAATGTGTGACAATAAGGGTCTATTTGACCATAATAGTATATCATCAAATCGGTCAGGTAAGGTCTATAACCGTATTTTGGATGGATGGATATCCATAAAATTTACTCATCCTTGGGTTTGAGGCTATACTATTAGAGTAGCTATTTCAGATGATAACCTCCAAACGATTTCACACATTTCAGTTTTGATGTAATAATTGTTTTTGTTTAGGCAGCGGCTTGGCTCTGCCCCTGGCATTGCTGAAGTCCATGCGCGACGGTAACCACTCACGAACAGTTGGGCCGCATGCTCGTCTTCCTAAAAAAAAAATTAAAAAAAAAAACGCGTAACCTATTTGATTTACCTGAGGTTTAATAAATTTCAACAACAGAACAGTGAAATATTACAAAGTTTATCTGTCAAATTATTTCATACAAATAGATTTGATCGGTTGTGATAACCAAAACATTGCAATACATTACGCTTCATTTTGACGTGATAACGTCTTATAAATCAATGAGCTCCGGCTAAAAGTGTCACGTTATGCTTGACCTGAGCCTGAGCGTGCAAGCGAGAGCGCGGAACAAGCGATAGAGAGACATAATCGGCGCAGCGTTTTTTTTTTTAAATTAGAACTTTATGAAATGTGTAGGTTATATGGTACATACTACAAATAAATAAAATAATAAATGTACTTTCCCAGGGGAGTGCGAGTGAGTCTGAAGATGAAAGTCGTCGTTCGTTGCTGGGTCACAGATCAGCGACGCCGTTACCGATGCGACAGCGACACGACTCTCACACCACGCAACACTCGAATTTAAACCAGTAATGTTGCCATCTTTATGATTTAACAGTACTAAAATCAATCAATACCACGGCAATATTATAGAAAGTTATTGTGATTGCCTAGTTGACCAACCCTAGTTTTTTTTTGTAACAATCGACATCCAACTTATCTATTTATGTATAATGTATTTAATAACGAAATGAATTCCATGAAAATTATATTCTGGTATGTTCAAAGTTATTTACATCGACTTGAGAAATAGTAATTCTTTTAAGCTAGCATAGCTTTTATCGCGGACTTTGAGCGTGGCGACCGAATCAAGAAATTCCGTAACGAAAATAAAACCTAACACCTACCATGTAGCTCGCGTTCAACACATTCACACGTTGCGCTTGTGTAGTGTTTGTGAATAAGCGCGCGGCTTGACGTCGCTTTTGTTAATGTTTATAAATATAGCGTGGTCTTATTTTATATATATATATATAAAAAATATATTATTACATTATTATTGTCTAACTATAATTGCATAAGTTGATTAAAAATGCTATGCAATAGCAGTCCCCAAGTGCTACACGTGTTTTTTATTTAAATATAAATTATTTCTTCTATTTAATTATTTCGTTTCAGAGACACAAATAGAACGAGAAATGATTCAATTTGTTCTGTCGTCAGTCAACCGACCACTGCAAATCCAGCTTTATCTCCCACCAAAGAAAAGCATTACCAAACAAAGTAAGTTAATGTACATGCAGCTTAATTTTACTTCATCAGTAAATTGAATAGCTAGTGACAGAAGACAGCTGTTTAATTTTACAAGTGTCACGTGATCTTTATCGGTGAATCGTGAATGAATTTATCCGAATAACTTAACTGCTTTGACACATTAAAGCAGTTTTTTTTTTTGTGTGCACCAAATGTACTATTTAGATTTCTTAGATATAGGCTTAGTAAACAAAAAACCGAATATAGTTACGAAGTGTATTGCATTTTTGAACAACATTCGAAACCCGCTGTGCCCCTGGTATTACTGACGTCGATGAGCGACAGTAACTACTTACCATCAGGTGGGCCGTATGCTCGTCTGCCTACAGAGGCAAAAAAAAGTAATTCAAAGGTGGTGTTCTTACTGGTGGTAGGACCTCTTGTGAGTCCGCACGGGTAGGTACCACCACCCTACCTATTTCTGCCGTGAAGCAGTAATGCGTTTTGACTTGAAGGCGGAGCAGCCGTTGTAACAATACTGAGACCTTAGAACTTAAAATCAAGGTGGGTGGCGCATTTACGTTGTAGATGTCTATGGGCTCCAATAACCACTTAACACCGGGTGGGCTGTGGGCTCGTCCACCCATCTAAGCAATAAAAAAAAATAAAAAAGATTCAGATCGTCGAATAAAACACAGTTATCAAATAAAAAGGTTTTACTAATTCGATTAAAAACTCAAAGCCTTAGGACTCACCTACTAGTATAATATGCGTGTTTCATCATCAAAGCCTCTGGTAACAGTAAAAACGTGACGACAAATGTGGTTTCTTAGGACTCGAAGACAGGAGATGAGTCGCCGTATGGCCGCTATGCGTCGGCGGCGGGAGACTGCCCAGCGCGATACGATGACCATGTACGATCTCATATTCCACAACCCCTCCACCAACCCTATGATGTGAGTAGATATTTTACACGCTTTCCCTGTGCTTTTTCGTTGACACTGTTTAAGTAATCAGATAGACCCGAAAGCATATTGAATTGAAGTCGTCGTGGCCTAAAAGATAAGACGTCCGGTGCATTCGTGTGTAGCGATGCACCGGTGTTCGAATCCCGCAGGCGGGTAACAATTTTCCTAATTAAATACTTAAGTTTAATTAAGTACTTAAGAAATGTTTGCGACTGACTTCCACGGTGGAGGAATAACATCGTGTAATAAAAATCAAACCCGCAAAATTATAATTTGCTTCCTTACTGGTGGTATTGTGAGTCCACGCGGGTAGGTACTACCACCCTGCGTATTTCTGCCGTGAAGCAGTAATGCGTTTCTGAGACCTTAGAACTCATATCTCAAAGGTGGGTGGCGGCATTTGCGTGTCTATGAGCTCCGCTAACAACTTAACACCAGGTGGGTTGTAAGCCACCCACCTAAGCAATAAATAAAAAAAAACATAATACTTTAAAAACGCAAATTTGGTTACACAATTGGTTTGGTTTGGCTTAAAGGACCATGTGGACCTAGATGCAGTTTTAGCATAACGTATACGTTAAAAAAAATTATATATTATACATGTATAAGAAGAAAAAAATAGTTTTTTTAAATGACCTACAATAACGGTTACATAAATCTTTCAAACATTTTTCGATTGCAGTCCAGATCAAGACGAAATTAAAGCTCAAGAGGCGAATAAAGCATCACAGAATCAGCCTGACGAGAGCGAAAATGACGACCCGAACGATCCGCCGTCGACGGGCGCGGCTCCCGTACCACAGATCAAACTAGGACCCAACGGCGAAATTATACTGGACGAACAGAGTTTGGTACGTGTTGTACTGTCTGCACGCAAATAATCTAGCGACTTATTATTATAATAGTTGGCAATCTAAGGCGCTGTTGTTGATATCGAGTAATACAATTATGCTCATGTTCCAAACCCTCTGGCAGGTACCAATAATTTTCGTTAGCGAATATATAACGTACAAGTATTTACGGACGACTTGTACCGTCAAGGATTATTAAAAATAAAAATTGTTTTAAAATTGGAAACAGTATTTAAAAACAAGTTGAATTAAAAATTAATGTAACCATTTATTTTTATTTTGGTTGTCGTGGATAGGGCGATAATAGGTCATAAGTTATAAAATGGTTGTATTGTCAACAGTCCCTTATAGACTCGTTGTGGACTTTAATGACAATTGTGTTCAAATATTCCACTCCATAAATCAAGCTAATACTTTTTTTTTATTAAAATGTGTAATAAAAAATATATCGGAAAAGTACGAAAAGACCTTGGCACCTACCGTGCGGATACGTACCTTGGCACGTACCCGCACGGGTAGGTGCCAATGTCTTTTCGGACCCCTGACTTTAAAACTTGCGACCATCCAATTATATGTGAATTTTGAGAATAGTTTTAGGATGCCAAAATACAAGTTTTTAGATGGTAATATACTGGGTATGTCGATTCCCCGAGATATTCACGTAATCTGGCCTAAAATGACTAGACTAGTATGTATAAACACGCGTTAATTAAAGCAGTAGCTCCAACGTAATGTTACCTATATGACGTCTGTCCTGCCCTGCGAAATTTCATATACCGATAAACCCGTGAATTGCAGGTGATAAAGCAGTCGAACAACGGGCGTAAAGTGTCGAGCGAGGTCCGCGAGGGCGCGTGGAACGAGCGCTCGAGCGGCTACCGGCGCAGCGCGCGCACCGCCGACTGGACGCACGACGAGACCGTGCGCTTCTACCGCGCGCTCGCCGCCATCGGGACAGACTTCACGCTCATGGAGCCCCTGTTCCCGGGCAGGACCAGGCGAGACCTCAAGCTCAAGGTTCGTTATTGCCTTTGGACACGCTGCAGACGAGTACGCAGCGGCTTGGCTACGGTAGGCAGCGGCTTGGTTACGGTAGGCAGCGGCTTGGCTACGGTAGGCAGCGGCTTGACTACGGTAGGCAGCGGGATTGCTATGGTAGGCAGCGGCTTGGCTCTGCCCCGGCATTGCTGAAGTCCATTGGCCAGGTATGCTCGTCTGCCTACAGGAGCAAAAAAAAAAGAGTATACGGGCACGCCTTTTTTTTATTGCTCTTGATGGTGAGTGCTTACCGTCGCTCATGGACGTCATCAATGCCAGGGGCAGAGCCAAGCAGCTGCCTCATCGTCACTCAAGGACTCAAGGACAGCATAACAACGGCCTACCTTTTTTTTTTATTGCTTAGGGGCCATCCATAAAGTACGTCACACGAATTTTAGGACTTTTGAACCCCTCCCCCCCTCCTTGTCACAGGTTGTCACATTTTTATAACCCCCCCCTCCTGATGTGACGTCACACATTTTTTAAATTTATGTATGTATTTAAAAATAATCGAGAGAAAACAGCTATTTTCATTTTTTACTTATTTTTATTAAATAATAATCTAATAAAATCAACATAAAGTCCAACATTTCATAAAACCGAAAAAACAAACGACTAGTTAGAAAATAATAAACGATTAATTATATTAATTAAAGATAAAAAACTTAATTATCGAGTGTCCATGGACTTTGGATCCACTCTTTTATATCAGCTATTACTGGTAAATCAGGCACTTCATTTTCGTTCTGAATTTGAACGTCAGGAACATCCTAATTTGAGTGTCTCACTTGCATTACAACGCCGCTCTAGAAGTTAAATGACGTTGCATGAGAGATTATCGCATAGCGAGAATGCTAAATTATTAATAAATATAGATCAAGTTTGTAAATTTTTAAAATTTTTAATTCACATACAAACTTTGCGTTTTAGTATTTTAAATTTTAACATGTGACGTCACAAAAGTGTTGACCCCCCCATGCCCCTTGTCACACGATGTCACACTTCGGTGATACCCCCCCTCCCCATTAACGTGTGACGTACTTTATGGATGGCCCCTTAGATGGGTGGACGATCTTACAGCCCACCTGGTGTTAAGTGGTTACTGGAGCCCATAGACATCTACAACGTAGACGCGCCACCCACCTTGAGATATAAGTTCTAAATTCTCAGTATAGACACAACGGCTGCCCCACCCTTCAAACCGAAACGCATCACTGCCGCGCGGATTCACAAATGGTCCTACCTACAAAAAAATAAATATGCTAAAGATCCGAGAGTAGAACAGAATAGTCGCTCTAGCTATTTCTCTAGGGAACATGCGTACAAAGGTCAGCAGTTTTTAAAGTAATTTGAACATAAAAAATTGAGGACAACTCACACACGATCAATCAATCACCTGTCCGTAAACTTGGAATCCTAAAAACTAGGGACTAACAAACAAACTTAGATATTTTTAAATTGTAGTAACTTATATACATATATATTATTTTTTTAGTTTAAAAAAGAAGAGAAACTGAATATAGCCCAAGTCGACAAAGCTTTAAGATCTCGCGTTGAATGGGACGCTATGGGGCTTCACGAAGAGTTTAAGGAGGAACGAGCAGAGGCCGCTAAAAGAGAAGAAGAGGCAAAACAGCGACTGGAGAAGCAGAAGAAAGAGAGGCAGGAAAGAAACAAAGAACTACGGGGATATAGACAGAGTACATACAATTTTATTTTATGTAATCTAACTGCTGAATTGAATGAAACAAAATGTTAACCTAAGGCTAATTCAATATGGTGACAAAATTACACAGAACTGATGCAACCATTATGAATGAACTACCCTGCAGAAACGCACACAATATTTTTGTTAAATAATTATTTAGTAATTTTAAGCTTTTATGTTGCAGGTATGAGCAAAAAACTGTTGGAGTCGTCAGTCCTGCGATGCGATTTGAGCAACGTAGATCACACGGCGGACGACATAATAGCTAGAGCGTCCGAGTTCAAGTCGCAAAAGAAACGTAGACCAAAAAAATCTATCGGTCAAAAACCAAAACCTGAGCCGGGACCTGGTTCGACATCGTCCCTGGCAACCCTGTCTGTGAGAAACAATAGAAAAACACAAGAATCAAAGAACAGCGTCAGCGACATGGCCGTCATAACGAAAATAGATCCAAAACCGGCCAATATGTTGTTGGATAATATTAGCAATCCTTCAATGCCGTCGAACATTGAGACAGGATCGTTAGTCGTGTTGACGGTCAACGACCCCAATTCGCCGACAAAGAAAATGTTGCAAACCTACATAGCGCGGGAGAAAGGGAAGCTTTTGCCTGTCGATTTACCTCCTTCACTATTGAACTCTGTAGTCGGTTACGTAAGAAAAGAAACAACGGACAGTAACGCGTCTATGGTGTCTTCGCCTATGACGTCGGCCTCGCCGAACAGTGTTGCCAGTATGGATAGCAGAATCAGTGTTACTCCATTACAGGTAAACCCAAGTCCAAATAAGCGACAAAGGAAAAATTCATATACAATTACGCCTCTCTAGCAGCTCATAATGTAATAGTGCATAATAATATTTAGAGTAAACTTGTGTACAATAAGTACAATATATTTTAAGATGTAAATGTTGAAACCGATTTGATCCATTGCCAAATGATTTTTTATTATTACGTACACAAAGTGCAAAAACGTTTAGCTATTCGGTGAAGTTACACCAAAATAATAGATCTTGACAATTACAATGGTCGAATCGAAATTATGATCTCAAATATATTATTTATTTATTTACTAAAAAGATGTTACTCGTACTTTTTACGCAAAATGTTTCAAGAATATTAGAGTACATAATATTCCAATGTTAAGCTAGTTGATATGCTACTAGAATGTAATCAATTAAAAATAGAATGTGATACCGAAGGTAATTTAATTTTTTTAAATACCCAATGTTAACTAACTTCTATTAGGAAGTTCTCAATGCGAGAAGTTCTCTGTGGGCCTCGATTTTGTTTAAGTTGCACAGATGGAAATATTATTGCACATTAGGTACATAATAAGAAGATTAGTTATATTTCCCAACAATAATATAACACTTTTTTAAAGATATTATTATCCGCAACCCGCTTCGTCAGATTATAGAAACAGAGTTCAACATGCTTCATCAATACTAGGTACATTGAAACTTCTTTAAACAACACTTTATAAGACTCCATATCACACACATATTGTATTGTAAAATATATATTTTAGATATAAAAAAAATGGGTACCTAATTACGGCTCCTTGTGAGCACGAATAATTATCACCGCCTTGCCAGTTTCTGTCGCAAATCAGTAATGCGTACCGGCTTAAAGGGTGGAACAATCTTTATATTATACAATCGAGACAAACCTCATGTCTCAAGGTGAATAGCGGACCCACCTATTGATAGACATTACAGGTTACAGTTCCGGTAAACACAACACCAGACGGGTCGTCAGCTCGTTCCTCTTACAAGTAATAAAAAAATATGTGGTGGTACCTACACGTGCACACTCACAAGAACGTCCTACCCACAGCAATTACGCAGATTATAATTTTTGCGAGTTTCATTTTTATTAGGTACACGATATTATTTATGTATGGTTCATATATGGTTCACTTTATCAATGACGGATTTGGAACACTTAGAGCAATAATAACAAAGGCAGGTTATTTATATGAAATTAACTTTTAAAAAAGCTTCCACATGTATTTATTTACAGAACTTAAATCAACTAGTTTTCGTACTGATAGTTTATGAGTGAACTTCTATGACGTCGTGAGGGAACCATTGTGATCCTTCTAAACTGTCCCATAGCGAAATGTTTACGTCCAAAAATTCATTATTCATATGATCCACGTCGATTGGTTTCTTGTGATCTGAAAATGACAGTTTATTAAATAATTTTGAGCACTTACTAGTCTGTCTCGCAATCCTAAAAATTTGTGCCACGAAGCAATCTAGCTCGGATTTGTAAGGTCAGAGTTACTATTATTCTGCAATTGCAATAAGTTTTACGTAGAGTCCTCTGCAGGCCCTTCACGGGGGCGGACGGAGAAAATGCTTGAATGCCCATTATTACTTATATTCTATAGTGAGCAACAGAAAGTCGATAGCTAAATTCCAGTTTTGGAAAGCGACTTGTTTATTTGTCGTTGTTGTTCCAATGTAATTCAGATTTCGAACATATAGAGCGCTATACCGTGTCTTCAAACGAGGCTTAAGAGCTGTATAAGCTTTTAATTAAATTTGTAAAATCTACTTTGTATTAAAAAAATACATCAATTGATGACCATTGACTATTTGTTCAAACTAAAACAGAATATAGTTAAGTTTCAATTATAGCTCACCAACGAGAACCAAATCATCAGTTTGTGTTTTGACAGCGACAGCTGGTGTAGTTTCAGATGCAACTGCCGGTTGGACTGCAGCTGTCGTGACTTGTTCACCCTGTCCATAGTACCCAGACCAGGCTGAATAATTTTGCCAATAGGCTGACGGATCATAATATTGGTTGTAATCCTATAATTACAATGGTCCATTAATATTTCAACTGCTTTCAAATAAACAAATTGCAGCAGATCGTTCTAGAGTATGTATAGTATGTAACAATAGCAGCATAATTTAGGCGGCAGAATAGAATTACAAGAAAACTATTAATGCAACTCTGTCACTATTGAATTTAATATGAAAAAATTACCAGTTCAGTTTGATGAATTTAAGCATCTTTAACAATATTTTTATCTTTCTTTATTAAAGAGATTAATCTAAGATACATGTTCTGCATAAATATTTATACAATATGTATTTGTAACATTTGTTTAGTTATGAGAGTAATTATGTGTAAAATTTGTATTGCACTGTGTATAAGTTACACTTTATTAGACCATTTATTCATATACAAAGATTTCAAATACTGGAAGGGAATTTCAGCTTATGATGAATAAGCATATGTATATTCAAAATTCTCAATTTTAATGATTCCCTAAAACAAGGTAAAGGCAACTAACTGCATGCATAATATATATTTTTTATAAATACCGTTCCGCTAGTGTAGGTTGCGGTTGAAGTTGTAGAAGTAGACTGAGCAGTTGTTAGATTACTTTTAGGTTTAGGTACAGCTGTGCAAATTTTGAGAGGTTTTGTTCCGAGTCCACAATAACCATTCATGGCATATAGTGCATTACGTTGCTCATCTTCATTACCAAATCTGACAAAGCCATATCCTTTTGTATAGCCAGAATTATCTAATATCACTGAAAAATTTGCATTATAATTTAATTAGTGTAGTTTCCAATGAAAAATGAATTAATCAATTAACATTGCAACCTTATATTTCAAATTTAAAGTTCCAGTTAAGTTTACTAAACTTAATTCTATAATAGGATTAAAATACTAAATTCCACTTTTTTATTACATATAAAAAAATATCCTTTTATTTGATAAGACAGTGACTGTAAGATATAACAATTTTAAATTGTCAATTTCTGTCAATTCAAAACTGTTTCTCATTTTAACACCAACCTTTAGCAGTTTTTATGGAAGTATATTTAGAAGCAAACACTCTATAAAGAGAGTAATCATCAACGTCAGGGCTTAGGTCTCCAACCCAAACAGAGAATTCTCTTTCATGTTGCATATTGGCTCTAGTTTCTCTGGATGCTGTGTTTAGTCTAAATCTAACCACTGGAAATGTGCCTGGTATGGGTTTTCCATTCAATTTGTGCATTGCGTCAATCGCTTCCTCATCAGTCTGTAAGGATTTTGAAAAATTTTAATAATGTAAGATTTAATGTGAGATGTAATTTTGTGTACATAGCATGAAATATTTTATTATAAAGTATATATTTTACAAGTTTAGTACCTGAAAATGCACAAAAGCATATCCTGCAGGTTCCCCAGTGAATTTGTTCCTCATGACTTTTACTGCTAGAGGTCTCTGTCCCAGTCTATTAAATGCTGCCATTATGAAACTCTCAGTCATATTGGGCTCCAACTAAAAACACAACACATTTTATTATTATACTTTCATTACTAATTAGATTTCATTGATTTAGTGGAGTATTTATTTTCTATGTTAGCAAGTTGTACTCATAACTATATTTTATGGTCTCATTTCATGTTTTAATTTTTACCATCTTCTTATTCTGCATTGTAAATTTTCATTGGGCACAAAAACTATAGCAGTAAAAATTAAAAAAATTATAGAATCCATTTTTTATTACATTCTTGGCATTATCATTGTACTGAACCTTATTAATTCCAAAATTTATCACATTACAAAATCACTCCAAAACTATAATTTTCGTAATTACTAGTGATAGGGTTACTTATGAGCCCGCTATGCTCCTGGAACTGTTTGAGTACTGTCTGAACAGTTTGATATGACCATTAAGATAATTATTGTTGCTTTTCTCTTTAACTGTTGAAAAAGTAGTAATTTTAAGGGAGACAATGTTAAATACATTTAAACATTATATGTAAATTTCAAAGTTGTGTTGGGTTGTGTATTGAGAGTGAGGGTACGGTTGGCCGCTGTTCCAATATTAATTAGGACACGGGGTAGACGATGTGGACACTATATAGTGTCTGTGGGAACATACCCATCTGTATTTTTATGTTTAAAATTCGTTTAAAATTAATAGTAAGCGAAGGCTACATAGTAATAAAAAATAAAAAACTCACACTGCCCATCCACAATTGACACTGCATAGCCATTTTTGGTGATTTCATAAGACTTTTATAGTTTCAAATTATTTAATGCCACTTTATTAGCACTGATTCCAATTTTCAACGCAACAAATCCAACACTTTCAAACTTTCCACTGAAACAAACAAACTGTCTCGGTAGACCAAAACGTGTTAATAAGCTCAATTTTTCAAGTGTTTTTATTATTTTTGCCGTCTGTTCAAAATTTTATGACTGTTCATGATTTATACGAAATTACCAAGAAATATGTAACTCGTGCATAGATTATACACTTAATATATACGAGAAACTCGTGCATGCAAGATATATAATTGTATGTTTGTGTTTTATTTTATGAATCTATGTTTTTTTTTGGGGGTTTTATGACCTGGTAATTGAGACCTTTAAGTCATGTGTTATTTTAATTTATATTCATATTTTTACGAAAAATGATATTATGGAGTGAAATGAAATGAAGATGTGAATGAGATAATTTGAGACATTAATCAACTGGGATGAAATTAAATGAAATGAAATGAGATGATTTGGAATGAAATATAATCTCAGTAACATTTTACTGAGATTTGGTCATTTACTAAGATTTTTGCAGTGGACTTTTTGGAGGATCCCGAAAAGTTACGACCAGCGGCTTTGTTTCATTTTCCCACATTTATGCACTTTCACATATATTAAACAGTTAATAAACCACCGTTATTACACATTTAAACCTGAAAAAACCTAAATAGTCAAAAAAAATCACGCAACTTCACTCCTCGTGTTCCTTCCAAAAAGTCTGTAAGGGGATAATCTATGAGATGCAATCACAGATTAATAAGGTCATAAAATCCCTTTAAAAAAATGAGATACATTTAATTGTTATGTTTTAAAGATAGTCAAAATTTTTTATTTTAGAATTATTAATGACATTCGGTTTTGTTTTTTTATTTTTTGGATAATTTGAGAAGTAATGTGAAGCGAAATGAGATGCAGTTATTTAATTTGAGGCTTTAACCAATAGCTGACTGAAGTTAGCCCCTCAAAAAAAAATTTTTTTCATGTTTTCTACTTATTTTCTATTAATTCGTTTGTTCATCATTTGTTCTTGATTGTTCACTGTCAATAATTGATTGTTCTGCATTTGTTTATTTAAAAAAAATTATTAAAAATATGTCTACAAGTTAGCCTCCCGATTGCAATTTTTTATATTTTTTCATCCTTAATGACTCGTAAATATTTATTTTCGATTGTCCTTATATAAAATACGTTTGTTCTCTTTCGAAATTACTCATTTTTTGTTTAATTAACTATTTGTATTGGTTGAATAAATGTATGCAAGATATGTGTACTGCGCATGCGTCAACTATAATGCCTAAACTTTCTACGCGGTTTTAATCGTGAAAAAAAAAAACAATTATAAATCCTGAAGGATCAATTAATTGGTCTACAGTTTAATTAAAAAAAATAATAGATAAATAAATGAAATAATGTGCATTGGCGTAAAGTTAGACCAAATACATTTTTTCCATCCTCCTACCTATCGTTATGAAGGTATAAAAAAGATAGGTTAAAACCGCGTAGAAAGTTTAGCATTATAGTTAACGCATGCGCAGTACCAAATATAGTGTTTAATCTATGCGCAGTACACATATTTTGCATACATGGACTTTTTGGCGGGAACGCGAGGAGTGAAGTTGTGTGATTTGTTTTATTTTGTCTCTTTAGTGTTTCTTCAGGTTTAAATGTGTAATAACGGTGGTTTATTAACTGTTTAATATCTGTGAAAGTGCACAAATGTGGGAAAATGAAACAAAGTCGCTGGACGCAACTTCTCGGGATCTTCCAAAAAGTCCACTGAAAAAATCTTAGTAGATGACCACCATTTTACTAAGATTATATTTCATCCCATATCATCTCATTTCATTTGATTTCATCCCAGTTCATTATTAATGTCTCAAATTAATCATTTTCATTTCATTTCACTCCATATTATCATCTTTCATAAAAATAAGAAAATAAATTAAAATAAGACATGACTTAAAGGTCTTAGTAACCAGGTCATAAAATCACTTAAAAAACAATTTTTTGCATACATTTAATCAACTAATATAAATAGTTAATTAAACAAAAAACGAGTAATTTCGAAAGAGAACAAACGTGTTTTATATACGAACAATCGAAAATGAATATTTACGGGTCATTAAGGATAAAAAATATTAAAAATTGCATTAGGGGGGCTAATTTGTAGGTATATTTTCAAATATTTTTTTTAAATAAATAAATGCAGAACAAACAATTATTATCAATGAACAATCAAGAACAAATGATGAACAAACGAATTAATAGAAAATAAGTACAAAATAGGGAAAAATTTTTTTTGAGGGGTTAACTTCATTCACCTTTAACCAATTGGGATGAAATTTAATGAAACGAAAAAACTCGAAAAAGCGCGAATATGTATACATGCTAACGGGTACAGTGCATAGAGTAAAGTGCCTTATTCACGATCCATCTTGCTGTACGTCCCGCCAAGGCCATGCACGATGCACGATGCATTTAGCGCTTTATTCACGATCCATCACAGCTGTACGTCAGCTCAAGGTCGCAATTAATAATAATTATCGACGTACGTCAAGCCTATTCATGATCCTTTTGCATCGTGCATCGTGCATGGCCTTGGCGGGACGTACAGCAAGATGGATCGTGAATAAGGCACTTTACTCTATGCACTGTACCCGTTAGCATGTATACATATTCGCGCTTTTTCGAGTTTTTTCGTTTCATTAAATTTCATCCCAATTGGTTAAAGGTGAATGAAGTTAACCCCTCAAAAAAAATTTTTCCCTATTTTGTACTTATTTTCTATTAATTCGTTTGTTCATCATTTGTTCTTGATTGTTCATTGATAATAATTGTTTGTTCTGCATTTATTTATTTAAAAAAAATATTTGAAAATATACCTACAAATTAGCCCCCCTAATGCAATTTTTAATATTTTTTATCCTTAATGACCCGTAAATATTCATTTTCGATTGTTCGTATATAAAACACGTTTGTTCTCTTTCGAAATTACTCGTTTTTTGTTTAATTAACTATTTATATTAGTTGATTAAATGTATGCAAAAAATTGTTTTTTAAGTGATTTTATGACCTGGTTACTAAGACCTTTAAGTCATGTCTTATTTTAATTTATTTTCTTATTTTTATGAAAGATGATAATATGGAGTGAAATGAAATGAAAATGATTAATTTGAGACATTAATAATGAACTGGGATGAAATCAAATGAAATGAGATGATATGGGATGAAATATAATCTTAGTAAAATGGTGGTCATCTACTAAGATTTTTTCAGTGGACTTTTTGGAAGATCCCGAGAAGTTGCGTCCAGCGACTTTGTTTCATTTTCCCACATTTGTGCACTTTCACAGATATTAAACAGTTAATAAACCACCGTTATTACACATTTAAACCTGAAGAAACACTAAAGAGACAAAATAAAACAAATCACACAACTTCACTCCTCGCGTTCCCGCCAAAAAGTCCATGTATGCAAAATATGTGTACTGCGCATAGATTAAACACTATATTTGGTACTGCGCATGCGTTAACTATAATGCTAAACTTTCTACGCGGTTTTAACCTATCTTTTTTATACCTTCATAACGATAGGTAGGAGGATGGAAAAAATGTATTTGGTCTAACTTTACGCCAATGCACATTATTTCATTTATTTATCTATTATTTTTTTTAATTAAACTGTAGACCAATTAATTGATCCTTCAGGATTTATAATTGTTTTTTTTTTTCACGATTAAAACCGCGTAGAAAGTTTAGGCATTATAGTTGACGCATGCGCAGTACACATATCTTGCATACATTTATTCAACCAATACAAATAGTTAATTAAACAAAAAATGAGTAATTTCGAAAGAGAACAAACGTATTTTATATAAGGACAATCGAAAATAAATATTTACGAGTCATTAAGGATGAAAAAATATAAAAAATTGCAATCGGGAGGCTAACTTGTAGACATATTTTTAATAATTTTTTTTAAATAAACAAATGCAGAACAATCAATTATTGACAGTGAACAATCAAGAACAAATGATGAACAAACGAATTAATAGAAAATAAGTAGAAAACATGAAAAAAATTTTTTTTTGAGGGGCTAACTTCAGTCAGCTATTGGTTAAAGCCTCAAATTAAATAACTGCATCTCATTTCGCTTCACATTACTTCTCAAATTATCCAAAAAATAAAAAAACAAAACCGAATGTCATTAATAATTCTAAAATAAAAAATTTTGACTATCTTTAAAACATAACAATTAAATGTATCTCATTTTTTTAAAGGGATTTTATGACCTTATTAATCTGTGATTGCATCTCATNTATGAAATAATTAGACAGTATAAACGCACTTGTAAACAAAACGCTAGTAAGTATGGCCATTGCCAGCTGACTGACAAAACCGGCGCATGCGCAATGTAGGCGTGAGGTGACGGTTTGCTAGATATAAAATAATTAATAATTAGGAATTTAATTGTTTTTATGATCGAACAATCACCAATGGTCGTCGAACAAACGATAATTAATCAAAGTGAATTAATCTAAGCGATAAAAATAAAGATATCTAGTAAGGGGGTCCCACTTAACGGTGATAATTTGTTTAATTAGTTATAAATGAATAAAAGACGAACAAACAATTTTACATTCGATCATTAACGAACAAACGACGAACAAATAATTATAAATAAAAAAAGTCCGAAAATAAAAAAGGGGGGCCAAATTTACAGAGCCTTATTAACTCCATGGTACAGTTGGATGTCGCCTTCGTCGTTTCAGTGTTGCTAATTAATTCCAATGTGCACAAAAGTCGGGAAAGTCGACACATTTTTATTTTTATTATTTAGTTTGTATTTACGATAAATTATAACACCACATTCATAGAGAAAAAAAACAATGTTAAAAGACCAATCTAGATATTAGTGATAAGCCTAGTTAGGAGATAGATTTAAGTAAAAGAAAAACAAAATACTGGGACTCTTTAGAATTGTAATGTAATAACTGTTGTAACTAATACGAATTTTGTGATGTCATTAAGCGACAAAAATACTTGATCCATACTTTGTCATTCGGTATCATATGGTACCTAGTATATCATTACAAAATATCGTTGTATCGCGTAGAACTATATCGATACGCGAAAATATCTTTTTTTTTTTTTTTTTTTTTAAGAGATTTTATGACCTGGTAACTAAGACCTTTAAGTCATGTCTTATTTTACTTTAAATTCTTAATTTTATGAAAAATGATAATATGGAGTGAAATGAAATGAAATGATAATTTGAGACATTAATCAACTGGGATGAAATTTAATGAAATGAAATGATATGGGATGAAATATAATCGCAGTAAAATGGTGGTCATTTACTGAGATTTTTTCAGTGGACTTTTTGGAGGAACCCGAGAAGTTACGTCCAGCAGCTTTGTTTCATTTTCCCACATTTGTGCACTTTCACAGATATTAAACAGTTAATAAACCACCATTATTACACATTTAAACCTGAAGAAACACTAAATAGACAAAATAAAACAAATCACACAACTTCACTCCTCGCGTTCCCGCCAAAAAGTCCCACAAGCGGTTAGTTTTTTTTTTTTTTAAAAGAGATTTTATGACCTGGTAACTAAGACCTTTAAGTCATGTCTTATTTTACTTTAAATTCTTAATTTTATGAAAAATGATAATATGGAGTGAAATGAAATGAAATGATAATTTGAGACATTAATCAACTGGGATGAAATTTAATGAAATGAAATGATATGGGATGAAATATAATCGCAGTAAAATGGTGGTCATTTACTGAGATTTTTTCAGTGGACTTTTTGGAGGAACCCGAGAAGTTACGTCCAGCAGCTTTGTTTCATTTTCCCACATTTGTGCACTTTCACAGATATTAAACAGTTAATAAACCACCATTATTACAAATTTAAACCTGAAGAAACACTAAATAGACAAAATAAAACAAATCACACAACTTCACTGCTCGCGTTCCCGCCAAAAAGTCCCGCGAAAATATCGAAATGTTTAATGCATAGATTATACACTTAATATGTTTAATGTATCGACCATTTCTATAGAGACGTAGCAATTAGACTTGCGCAAAACATCACTTCCCAATGTAATGTGATATGACATCACTTTTACAGATAGGTGATATTACTCGAAAACATTACACATCACTCTTAACATTACTCGGTGCGTTCAAAGTGATGTGTATAAACACATCACTTAGGTAATGATTCGGGTGTATAGATACAATGTATTCGTCGTCACAGTATCTATTGAACGCACCGAGTAATGTTAAGAGTGATGTGTAATGTTTTCATCAATCATTACCTAAGTGATGTGTATAAACACATCACTTAGGTAATGATTCGGGTGTGTCATTACAGTAGTGTATTACAATACAAAGTATGAACTTTNTACAACCCAAAACAGACGGCCGAACTGACGTGACAATGACATTTGGCGCGCTAAACATGGCGGATTTTCGGCCTCATTAGACGGAGACGGAGATATTTACGTATATTCATGTTCCATTTTATGTACGCACTGAAATACTGTTATATTGTTTTCCTGCGAGTTAAAGTGCTGAGTAAGAACGAGATAGATATATGTTTATGTGTGTGCCTTCAAAATGGGTGCTATTTATATAAGCAATTGTACGTATAGAACAATATGTCGTGTCCCTACTATATAGGTCTATGCAATTGTCACTTGGCAAATGGCAGCTATTTACTTAATTAATATTAACTAAATACCATTGAATAATTAATTAAATTGTAATCTTTGTGCCTAGTATTTTTAAAGTGAAAATTATGTCTCAGTTAGATAATCTTGAAGCATTAGAAAAGCAATTAGCTGAATTGCAAATGGTAAAAGAAATGTGTACTACAGGGAAAGGGAAGAAAGTGCCGCCTGCTGTGCCTCCAAAGAAAAAAACTCAGCCGCACGTTCCTCGCAGCGCTTTAAACAGTGAGCCATCCTATTCGACAAAAATGTCAACATCGACAAGTAACAATGAAACTTACAATACCTTGCCTAATAAAACTTTGATGTCACAGAAAGATTACGCAAATTTAAACCACCTTGAAGACGACTTCGAATCTTCTACATTAAGACAAAATTTAAGTAACACGACTTATAGTAACTTGTCACATTATAAGGCGAATGATATGCACATTCAATTACCACCCCCTCCACCACCACCACCATTAACTACACACACAACATTGCAGGCTCCTCTAGGAACACACAATCTACAATATATGACACTGCCATTACCTAATCCTTCTTCAGGAGTCCACCAGGAATATATGATGCCAGTATTGTCCAAGTCTCCTGTAACTACAAACAGTGAGGAGTATATGCCACCCCCATCACCAGTAAGTTCCAACTACAGTGAATTGGCTAGAGCAAATGCTAATTTGAATTACAACCATGATAGAACATGTCCTCCTGTTTATCAGAATAATTTCCCTGAATACAACATGTCACAAGCTCCAACATATGAATCATTCTATGAACCAATCAGTCCACATCCCTCCAGTAAGACAGCAATGCAAGAAAATAATTTAATTACAAAGAAAGAAGCTTTATCTAAACGATCACCATTGCCCAAGGAACAAGAAGTAGATGCTTTGACAAATCTGCTGGTACAATCAATTACAGACAGTCAAGATTTAGATGTCTTTGGAATATGTGTGAAGTGTGGTGAACGAATTTCTGGAGAAAACGCAGGCTGTACAGCTATGGGAAACACTTATCATGTTCACTGTTTCACTTGTCAACGTTGTAATGTAAATCTCCAAGGAAAACCATTNTTGCCCAAGGAACAAGAAGTAGATGCTTTGACAAATCTGCTGGTACAATCAATTACAGACAGTCAAGATTTAGATGTCTTTGGAATATGTGTGAAGTGTGGTGAACGAATTTCTGGAGAAAACGCAGGCTGTACAGCTATGGGAAACACTTATCATGTTCACTGTTTCACTTGTCAACGTTGTAATGTAAATCTCCAAGGAAAACCATTCTATGATGTTGAGAATGAACCGTATTGTGAAGCTGATTATTATGACACATTAGAAAAGTGCTGTGTTTGCCGAAAAATAATTTTAGATCGTATTCTACGTGCTACTGGAAAACCTTATCATCCAACTTGTTTTTCTTGTGTAGAGTGTGGTAAAAGTTTAGATGGGATACCGTTTACAGTTGATGCCATGAACCAAATCCATTGTATTGATGACTTCCATAAGAAATTTGCACCACGTTGCTGTGTATGTGAACTACCAATTATGCCAGAAGAAGGTCAAGAGGAAACTGTGAGAGTTGTTGCCTTGGACCGTAGTTTCCATGTTAAGTGTTACAGGTGTGAAGATTGTGGCTTACTGTTGAGTTCAGAAGCAGAAGGTCGAGGTTGTTATCCACTTGACGATCATATACTTTGTAAAACTTGCAATGCACGTCGTGTTCGTCTTTTGACTAATGTTATGACTACAGACTTATGAATTGTGCATTTTTGTTTAAACATCAAATGATACTATGTATATATATATATAGATATCTATTATTATATTGATTAATATCATAGGAGTTTAGCTCTGGAAGACAATAAAAAGTATTTTGTAATATAAGGTTTTTATAAAAAATTATTTAAAAAAAGTACTAAAAGGAAACTTTCAAAAAGAAACTAGGAAAGGTTATCAACATAGTCAATTGGAATTCTTTCTTAGTCTGCATTAAATGTGATAGAATATTGTTATAAGCATTATAAAAGTTATCTAGTAGTTATGTATGGATATACTAGTAATTCTCTGCTATGCTGTGACTCACTAAATGTATGAAATACATCTATTGGTCGATATAACCTGCTTGATGGTACTGAGACTAGGATTACATACATTTAATTTTGACTTGTGAGCAATACGTTTTATATTGAATATGAAATATTTACATATTTGCTTTTACAAATAAAAGTGCAAAGCACAAAGCATTTTACAGTTTTACATTTCTTAGTACTAAGAATTATTTTTATATTTTTTTATTAATCCAAAAGGTTACTATTGCTATAAATATATTTGTATATAAATAAACACAAAAATGAACAAAATTGTTTTATTCTATAAAATTATTTACAAATACTGGCTGATAATATAAGGCACAAACATCACAGTCACCATTATAGGAATGTTTCTTACCTAAACATATTTTCTATTTAATTGTTACTTAATAGATAGCCACATGCATAAGTAAACACACCACGATACACGCCACGTGGAATATTACGACACCACAACACATCAATACAAAAGTTTTACAGTACTAACTTACCATACTGTAAGAATAATTTTGAAATGATGAAATAATTTAATTGTTAGTGACTCGCATACTGAGATCTGCTTTATGAAATGGTTAATTTAACCTACAATACTTTCAGGAACAAAATTTAGATTTCAGCCCTTGTGTTTCATCTTTGTATTAGATTTAGATGGACTTAATACCTGTTTCATAAATAGTGATCTTTTCTCCTTTGCACAATTGGAATTATTTGAGCTTGTACTACCTGTAGGAGAGGTACCTGGCCAATAAGTACTTGGTTCTTTCTCTATGGTTGTGACCTTATCACTCGATCTATAATTATTTTTGCTTGACATGACATCAAGTGTTTTTGATGTACTTTCAGAAGTATTACACAAATTTTCCTCATCAGAGTTTAAATGTGTTTTCATTTCAAATTTTTCTCTTAGTATAGAGAACTTACGACGAGGTTTGGTTTTTGTTTGTTTTTTTACATTTGAAAGTTTTGGCGAAGAGCTTTTATTTGATTCTGATGCCGAAACGTCTTTTTGTATTAAAGATTGCAGAGATGTTGACATACGATTCATTGATACATAATCGTTAGAACCATTCGCTGTTGTGGCATTTCCCGAAACCAACTGCCACAGCAAGTCTATATTCTTGTTAGATACATCAGGATCAGGTGGCGCCTTCAAGTTTTTCATTTTACTACGAGTGTAGTTTGTTGAGTGATTATTGAAATTATTTTCTATTTTCATTCTTAATGTATCGTGTTTTGAATTGTTTGTATCTGTCACGTTTAAAGTTTTTCTATTTGTGTCATAACTAGGATTTTGTGATATATTTTTATCGTTTTCCTTTTCAGCCAATGCTTCCATAATATTACTGGGATGGAATTTCGAAGGTTCTTTCCATAATGCTTCGGATAAAATCGGGTCTAAGTTTGAAGCAGTCGGTTGAGGTGAATCCCACAAATGGTCTCCTCTATGANTGTTTGTATCTGTCACGTTTAAAGTTTTTCTATTTGTGTCATAACTAGGATTTTGTGATATATTTTTATCGTTTTCCTTTTCAGCCAATGCTTCCATAATATTACTGGGATGGAATTTCGAAGGTTCTTTCCATAATGCTTCGGATAAAATCGGGTCTAAGTTTGAAGCAGTCGGTTGAGGTGAATCCCACAAATGGTCCCCTCTATGATATAGATTTCTTGGAGAATTTGTAACAGTAGATTTCCTAATCTCATCGATAGTTGCAACTAAAGAGCTCTCTGAATTTAATCGTTTCTTGTTCGTAATATCCATGTCTGTCAGGTCATCCAATTCCTCCATAATTGGTTCTAAATGAATTGCATCTTTATTAGCATCAACTACGCTAAATGAGTCATCGGTACATATTGTAGAGTTTGCGTAGTCATCTTGACTGCCTTTGTCAAACTTAACGAATACATTTGAGTATGTATGTGTTTTCTTCGGGAAAGGTGGTGCCGCTAAAATCGCATTTTTCAATTCCTGAGAGATGCAACTACTAATTTCTGAACTGGCTGAAGTTAATGTGTCGCGTCTTCTATCTCTGACGACGCTTCCGTCGTGACGCCAGTTTTCGATATCGCAGTACCCCTTCCAAGATCGCAGCCCCCACGCTTCACGAGCAATATTTACCGCACATATATTCTCATAATCGTGTACGGACAATATTTCCGTTGGTGTATCTAACTCTCTTGATTTTGTAAAGAAATCTGGATTCGCATTGCTCTTCTTACCCTTTTTAGCGTACATTTCTTTTAGAATGTCCAATGCGATCCTTTGTATGTTTTCAATATCTGCATCCTGATTCCCTACTTTTATATTCTTAAGTGCACTTAAACACAATTTCTGGACTATGTTTTCGTTAAACGTGTTGATATCGGAACTATTGATGTCGCTGAAACTCAAATCTAAATCCATATCAATGGAATCTGATGAAGTTTTCTTATTCGAGCTATCGGTATCGTGACTTATTTCTGAGCATTGGTCGTTTTTTAGTATCTTCATAATATCTTCATTGACTATGGCACAAACGTCGAAATTCATATTGGTTAAATCATCGCTAAGATCATCAGAGGAACAAATGGCGCGTCTTTTATTTGAATTCAGATTGCTCGATGTTATTTCATCTATATTACTCTCAATATTTTCTCCAGCCGATAGTTTAAGCGTCAGTTCCGTTGGTGAACATATTAGAATTTTTTTGTGTTTACAGTTAATTTTATTTGAAATATTTTGCCCTTGATTATCCTGTTTGAGAGTTTGTGGTGTATTTTCAACACTATAAATTTCGATTCCTGAAGCATCGCATCCATTGTTTCCAAACGAGCCGGACGATAACGTCGGTACGCCAATTTTAGCAATCCATTGATCAAGCAAAAAATTCTTATCAGCGTTTTCGATTTCTTTTTTGGGATGTTGTTCTAAAGTTGATTCAATGCTGGAAGCAAGAATCATCGACTTAATTAGAGCGAGAGGGCGGTTACTACTAATTGTTAAAAAAATACTATTAGCTTATTATATTAGAGCTGGAGTGGCAGAAGTGAAATCTGCATCAAATTGCAAAAAAAGCGCACGTCGAGCTGCTGAAGTCATTCCATATTTGAGTGTCAAAAATCAATGGTATCTAATACTCGATCAATTTCAAAATGAGTAAAGTAGGATAGTCTATCATAAATACAAATTAAATTACCTGTAAGGGGCTCCATTTTGATTACGATGCAGAGAATGTTTAAATGACCTAATGGGATTTAAATTGACAACCGTCTTATTTTCTTCGGTTCCGGGGTTTTGTATCACAGCCTTATTATTTAATTCTATATCACTTTGTTTTCTTTTCCACAATAGTGGTCCTTTCGGATGATAAAATCTATAGTAAAATATCATAGCACAAATACCTGGAAAGTAAATATTAAAATGTTTATTTAATATATTTTGTACACACAGCTGTTAGAAAAGCCACGTCAATAAGGATACAGAGTACAAGGGCACTACTTATTTCATGCTGAAATCTCTTCCAGTAGACCCGCAAAAGGAAAGAAGAATTAGGAACACAAACCTAGTGCATACAGTAAACATTACATATAATAATATACACATATTACAAGATACAAAACAATATAGATACATACAAATACACACACACACACACATACATATATTTAACATACACACATATACTTACTTTATATTATAATACAGGGTGGCCCATAAGTCCTTTGAAAAGTAAAATTTGAATAAAACGAACAGGGCGCGCGTGAGCGGTGCAGGGGAAGCGGGGGGAGTAACTTCGGTTTCTGGGAATTTAGTCGCGATGGAGCGTTTTACCGGAGCGGACCGTGCGTTTTGTGTGCGCGAGTTTTATAAAAACGACAATTCGGCAACCGTTGCGCGGCGTAAATTTCGAGAACACAAAGGTTTACACAACTTTGACGACACTCCAACTCTTCAAACGATTAAGAACTGGGTTGCTAAGTTCGAGGAGACCGGTTCGACGTTAGATAAACCGCGGTTGGGTCGCCCAAGGACGTCACGTACGGAACAAAACATAGACACAGTGACACAGTCTATTCGCGAAAATCCGACACAGTCAACTCGTAAGCGCGCCAGAGCATTAAACGTATCCAGGACATCGTTACAACGGATTTTGAAGAAAGATTTACATATGCACCCTTACAAAATTCAGTTGGTTCAAGAATTAAAGGAAACTGACGGTATTCAAAGACAAAATTATGCGAATGAAATGTTGAATCGGTTTACTTCCTTCAATAACATAATGTTCTCTGACGAGGCTCATTTCCATCTTAACGGGCATGTTAGTAAACAAAATTGCCGCTATTGGAGCCCCATCAATCCAAAACTTAAGCATCAGAAGCCCTTACATAGTCCGAAAGTGACTGTTTGGGCCGCTATGTCAGCCCATGGTATCCTAGGGCCTTACTTCTTTGAGGATGGCAGAGGGCGCGCAGTTACTGTTACGTCGGAGCGATATGTGGCTATGATCGAAGAGTTTTTCATACCAGAATTGCAAAACTTTTCAGGCTTTAATGCCACGACGTGGTTTCAACAGGATGGGGCCACTTCTCACACCTCTAACACTGCTATGCCCGTTATCCGTCAACTTTTTCCTGGCAAAGTTATCTCTAAGAGAGGAGACATTTCCTGGCCTCCACGTAGTCCAGATCTGACCCCGATGGATTTTTTTTTGTGGGGCTACCTTAAGGCTACAGTATACGACACAAACCCGCGGTCAATTGAGGCCCTAAAAGAAAACATCCGCAGAGAAATGACAAGCATTTCAGCAGTGACGTGCCGCGCAGTCATCGACAATTTTAGACGTCGTTTGCAAGAGTGCCGTGATCGCAAAGGATTACATTTAGGAGATGTTATTTTCAAAAAATAATTCCCGTTTTTTAAGCTTTTTATGTAAATAAAAATTTAATTCATAATGTAATTAGTTTTATTTTAATAATTTTTTTTTCATATCAAAAGACTTATGGGCCACCCTGTACATTATACAAATTTATAAAATTTATTTAAGATGGTAAGGATAAATAATGTTCCTTAACAGTTTTCTTGAACGCTGCTATGGTTTTGCACGCTCGTATGCTTGGAGGGAGGGAATTCCAAAGTATAACTGCTTGTACAGAAAACGATTTTGCGTAAGCATGTGTTTTATGAACAGGGCAATTGAGGAGAGTTTTAATGTGTGTTCTACAAGGAGCAATGGAGGGACGGGCATAGGTAAAGCGATCACGTATTTGGTAATTTAATTTTGCTCTTATTTTAAATTCTAATTTAAATATAATTAACTGAAGTCTTCTTACCTATAAATACACCAAAAATAATGCAAACGATTCCTATCACAGACCATAACTTCCTTTGCTTGTCGTGCGGCGAAATTAGCAAGTACAATAGGAGACTACCGAAATTTTGAGTTATCATTAATGTGTAAAACGTCAATAGTCTATATTTAGTTTGGCCCTCGTGTAAATTAACGTAGCAAAAACAATAAACAAATCCCATTACTACATTATAAAATGTTTCCTCTAATTTATTAGAACAAAAGCTGGTTTTTTGAATAATAATCCAGAATATCATAGCTGTCCAGTGTAAACCTGAAATAAATTGTTATCATAAGCACAGATGAAGGGTACTTCACGAAATGTTTTTATCTAAAGTATGTTTTTTAAGTCGTCGTGGCCTAAAGGATAAGGCCCCCGTTGCATTCGTATCGATCGACGCGACTTTGTCGGTATTCGAACCCCGCACCCGAGGCACCAATTTCCCTATTGAAATACGTACTTAATAAATGTTCACGAATAACTTCACGATGAAAGTGAAAGGTTGAGAAACGGATTTGGGTAATAGTCTAGTCAACAAGTGCCTTTTTGGTCAACTTTTTTCAGCAGTCTCCGAAAATTATGTTTGAGGTGTCATTCGATTCGGAATAGCACCTAGATGTTTTTTGAAAAAAAAAAAATGAAGTTCCACATTAAAAAATTGCAAAAGTTATCATTCGAAACCCAAAAGATGTTTTACTGGCAATACTGAACCTTATTTTCATAGCCTTTTCTCGATGATCTTTAAAATCAGTTTTTGTTTTATTTACAATGAAAATCAATACAGAATTGATAAAATGATGTGTGAAAAGTAATCCCGCTTGCCTTTTTGTGTATTTCCGACCTCAAAAGGCACTCTTTCGCCACAAATTTACCCATTTTTCAGGACTTATTACTTTGACGACGGCACGCAAGTAACTGAATGAAATAAGCCGGGCATACGCCTGTGGGCTTATATTGAGTGGTTACGCGTTGACGCGGTAACTACTCATCTAGTATCATTTATTTATTCTTCACTGTGAGAATGTCATCACCCTGAAATTTCCAGTACCTTGTCTCTGTGCAAACATTTCACAACATTATTATTCTGTGAGGACTCACACGTAACTTATTAAACATCATTGGTTTGTGAAATGATCGAAGTTCCCACAATGCTACTCTCTCTTCTCTCTCTTCCAGCACACAAACCTCTACTACTGGACATACTGCCACTCCCTAGCTCCACCAGACCCAGTACAACCCAAGAAGTCTTCTGGTACGCGTACAGAGCTCTTAGCGCTATGATTAACGATATTATTACGATTTGTCAAATCTTGTGTGTTTTTCGGTGCTTTGTTGGATTGTGCAGCTGTTTATCCCATGGAGTTGGGTGTTTAAGTTTTCAAATCCCGGTCATTTCACTCCAATTATAAGTGAGTCGTTCGATTTGTCAATATTCTTGATCTAGTATGATTTATTGAATGATTGATTGTAAATTGGCGGTAATTGGTGTGCTTCAAGGATTACTTAAATCTACCGGCAAACATTTGATTTCCATGTATATTATACAAAAGTTTCTTGAATGGCAAAAGTTATTTTCCCACCGAGACAAAGAAACGAAGCGTGAGCATCGCGTTACGAAAACCTTCATACCCGATCTTATAGACCGAATGGTAAACAGTCGACGTCGCCCAAAACACGTCATTACGGATCTTCCCGATCCATTAACGGTGCTTTTAGATACCACAAGCATCGGTCACCGTCCTCGTCGAACCCGTCGCTTGCGACGAAGGACTCGACGAGTTAACTAACCCTCAGACACAGCTCACTGAGGTTCTCGCCGGATCTTCTCAGTGGGTGGCGTTTCCGATCCGGTGGTAGATTCTGAGCCCCGTGACCACACCTACTAGTTAAGGTTACGCTGAAACAGCCTCTCAAGGCCATCAGCTTAGATAGATACCCAGTGCGGGTATTCGATTCGTTTTTTTGTGTTTAGTTTTTAACTTAAATTTAGTAACAATTATCGAACTTTCCTTGATGTCCTTTCTGGTTAAACATGTTCTTCCTACATTTTTTTAATATACGCATAAAACTCAGCATTCATAATTAATGGCCTGTTTGTACTTCTGTTATTAATAGCAAAGATAAAGGTAATTGTAATTGAATAATTTGTGGATTAAGCCATTTTGCGGTGTCAGGCTCCTTTGAAAACGCGGCGCGTTACAATAAACCTCTTATCGTGACCGCATCTAACTACATATCAGACCCAGGTGACGGGATATTGTAAAGCCGACGCTCAAAAATGTCTTTTCGGATCCTACGCATCTATTCTCGGTACTTTTAAGCTCAGCAAGCACCAGTCAGCGTTCTCGTCGACGTGCAACCTAACCAATAAACACAACCCACTGAGTTTCTCGCTGGATCTTCTCAGTAGGTGAAGATTCTGATCCAGTGGTACATATATACCCCCTTAGGCTGCCATTGGGTAGGGAAAAAAGCTTAAGTTAATATATAATTATAATTTACTTACTTAGTGGTAACAATGTCCAAACTCCAAATACTATAGTAAATAGCAAAATTCCCGAAATTCTGCTTATTAACATTCCGAAGAACCATGTAAGCCTCAATCCTAATGATTTCCATTCAAACTGTAACTTCAGGAAAGCTGCCTCATTATATATGTATGTAGAGCACCCCCATACAACTGAAGACATGGAGGCACTCAATGAAAATACTGAAAAAAATGGATTCAAATTATAAATCTTATTACCTTAAAAAAATCCAGTATATAAGAATAAGACATGTTATTTATTATTAGTAATGAGAGTGCGACAAATGTTCCATTATTATCTAGAGAATTTAATATTAACTTCATTATGTATAAGTATACATAGTAAGAGTATGCTTGTTTTGGACACCAATAATAATTGTAATTCCTATCACATTCATTAAATACAAATTACTAAACTTCTCTTGATTTTCTTATAAAATTACATAGCACAAGTATGGGGTGAGCTTTTTAGTAGCTTTTAAGGAGACGAGTAAGGAGAGTAAGTATAGATTGAGGTTTTTATATTGGGGGCATTTACAGTGTTCCAGGGTGGCCCTTCAGCAATTAGTTTGTAAATTATAGTCATTTAAAATAAAATATGATGTAAGAATAAAGTTTAATCTTTAAAAATTAATTCTCTTGGTCTAGTGGAGCTTCTGCAAAGATACAATGAAAATTATATAGAAGTCTTGGTGGTCAGCAGTGGCTTTTTGTTATTGCTTTTTATGACATACTTACTATGCTCATAGACATAACTAATCTCAGAAGAATAGCCACAAAAGGGCTTATCTGTGACCTTCATTTCCCTATTTGGTTCTTGATATTTTTAAGATAATATTTAGTAATAAGCTATTTGTTTATTACCTTTAGTATAGTAGTTTTCATCCAGAACAACAATGGCATAAAGCTGTAGTATAATTTGTGGGGCCGTTCCAGTAAATATGTATATAAAATGCAACAAACTTAGATCATTCCTTTGGGATATCAGTTTGTTTGTTTTCATAGCTTCTAAATTTTTACATCCAAACACTTTGCGTATGAATATGAAATATCTGCAAAATGGTAAATCAGTGAAGTTTCTTAAGTACTGTGTTCATGTTTTGTTGACAATTTAAGACATTACCTTTCTAACAATCCAACCAGGAAAATGTGGCTAATCCAATGAGTTACATTGGATTTATTATCAGTAATAAGCCATCTCAAAGAAAACACATTGATTATAATGTTTGGAATTATTATTAAAATGATTGTGCCTGCTGCCCATTCTAAACGATCGTTTTTAAAATATTCCGCAAATACAATTATATCTGAAAAAAATGGGCACATCTTTTTTAAAATAAAAAGTAATAATAAACTATTTTCTTCTTTTTTTTAACTTACCTGTGGTTACATCAGCTAATATAGAAACCAACGATATGAAAACGCATAATACATTAAATAAACAAAAGTTTTCATCTTGGTATACATCAGTATTACTCAATTTATTTTCAGTAGTACCACTACTAGTTTTGCAAACCTCTGCCATTCTAGATTATTTGTATTTTATAAAGAAGCCAGGTAACTCATTTTAAGTTGTATTCTTCTTATTAATAAGTTTCATTCCAAATATAGAAAAAGCTGTGAATATGAGAATAGGTATTTTATGTTTTATTATTATAGCTTTAGTCTAATATTTCTTAGCCCAGTAATTAATAACCATACTTTAATTAATAGCAATAATCATTGTCCCATATAAGTCGAAAACAATAAAACTTTTAATAATCCTTAGCGCACTTAGCTTTGATGCATGATTTGATTGAAAGTTTGTTAAGTTTGATCAAGTTTGATTGAAAAGCTTTGTAAGTTTTGTGATTTTTTATTTTTAAGGGATTTTATGACTTGGTAACTAGGACCCTTTAGTCATGTCTTATTTTAATATATTATTATATTCTTATTTTTATGAAAAATGATAAAACGGAGTGAAATTAAATTAAATGAGATGATATGAGATGAAATATAATGTCAGTAAAATGGTGGTCATTAAAATATAGGTATTTCTTTTCCCCGGTAAAATATAGGTCTACCAGAATCTGATGGCAAAAAAAAGGGAAAAAAGTAGCGATTTTCGTATGGCAACAAAAAAAATGTCATCTGTCAAAACTGAAATTTCGAGGAATTGTTTTTGGGATTCAAATTTCCTTTAAAAAGTGGTGAAAATTTCGAAGAAACCTCTTCGATTACAAGCAAGAAATATTGTTTTCAATGTTTATCAAAGAATGCTTGATGAACAAGGTACAGAACAAAGACAATCATCGATATTGAGCCATGTGCAAGCGTTGACTGGTTAGTCGGAATGACACGTCTTGATACTTTGGTTTATTGCATTTTCGTGTGTATTATGTGTACTAAACTTTGGTTTATACCAGGTGTTTCTAATACTACCATAAGACGAATTGTTGCTGAAGGCAGATCTAACAGAGGTGTATTTAGTACACCCGGTAAAAAAAGGAAAGGTGGCAAAAATACTGCGCCTTCCTCGTCTTCCTCTTCCGATGAAGATGTTTTATGGATGTGCAGTATTTGGAACCATTTTCAAATTCTAATAGCCTATAGTTAATTAATAAATTCATGAACAGAGTAATTGGAGTTTTCATCTAAATTTCGAACCCCACATTCGCCACAGTAAGATTTTGAAAAATTATCCTTGATCATTGTATAAATTTTTATATTTGCATGTATCACACAGAATCAGCCGCTATAAGAAAACCAAAGTATCAAAACGTTTTACTCCAATTTCCCCAATATTGCTAGCGTCAATTTCTTTTTTCCCTTTTTGCCATTAGATCCTGTTAGACCTATATATACTCGTAGACATCGATGTTCACACATCGGTCACCGTTCTAGTCCAACCCATCGCTTGCGACGAAGGGCTCGACGAGTAAATTAACCTTCAGACACAGCCCACTGAGTTTCTCGCCGGATCTTCTCAGTGGGTGGCGTTTCCGAACCAGTGGTAGATTCTGCGAAGCACGGCTCTTGCTAGGGGTCGTGTTAGCAACGTCGTCAGGTTTGAGCCATGTGAGCTCACCTACTAGTTAAGGTTCCGCTGAAATAGCCTCTCAAGGCTATCAGCTTAGGTAGAGAAAAAAAAAAAGTTCACACTGGTATTCTTGGAGTCCATAAATTTGGATGTCTACTGAGCTATAATAAATAAAATGTAGGTACTAGTAGCACTTGTTAGCAAAATTCTCTCAAAATGAACCCCGAGGGTCCATCTAACTGTATTAAGCTGGCATAAACTTCAAGATCATTATAGGAAAAAAATGTACGGAATAGCTAATATTAATGTTAGAAAATATACGGAATATGTAGGAAAAAAAAGTGACCCTTTTTACCACACATTAAACGACAATTACCATTCATGTAAACTTGGTAAAAAATAAAAGTAACAAAATTAAACAATTCAAACAAATTAACATCGATGCCCCCGCCACTTTTAATTTTACTTTACGTGTCAAACTACGTTTTTGTTGTCGTAGTAATATATTAGTGCCTAATCCATAGAAATAGATTATATTAAATACTACGAAAAAAAGAGTTTGCTTAAAAGTCTCGTTACCAGGCCATACAATCTTTAAAAAAAAGTATCCAATTAATTTTGTTTACCTACCTACCGATAAAACCGTACCGTACTTTTAAAAACTTCACAAATTTTGCTGGTCCATATGCTATTTAATTTAGTTTTTTGGTAAACCATGATTCATGACGTACTATTAATTCTTTGGGATTCATCTGAAAATGGTATCGAAAAAAAAGAGGTATGTACTAGTAGATGCATATAATTTTTAGATTAAATTAAATTATAAAAATACATATGTACTTTGGCCATTAAACTACTGTATTTATAATTTAATATGAAATAAAAAAATCATTTCAAAATTCAACTCAAATTCATTCATATATTTATCCTTTATTTAGTTTAATTCGTCATCAACTATGTGTGAACAAATTTTTGTATTGTGATAATGGCTTGCCTTTCAACAAGAAATTATAATTTAGATAAAATATAAAAAGAGTACAAATATACATGATATATATCTTAAATTTTTGGTTATTTGTGTTCTAAAAAAATATTTTAACAAATCTCAATGACAGATTAGTAACAAATCCAAAGCTTCAATAACAACTGTATACTGTTTCATAATATTGAAAGCTAGATTACGTTTATATTAGACATATTAATAAGGTTGGAAAATAGTATTAAATCAAAGTGATAAAATAACAGTTGTTCATATTGTCTTGTATTTTTTATTTCTTGCAGAACCTTGCATATGCGAATGAGGGTGATGTTGAAATCTATGGTAGAATAAGTGAGATAGCAAAGAGCCATCATAGAATCCAATCCTTTGTAGAAGAGACTGGATTCCAATCCCGAAAAGCTTTATCAGGTTTGAATAGTAACAGGTCTTTTCTGTAATAATTATTTACAGTTAATGAAATTCTATTAGAATCAAATAGCATTTTATAACAAATTTGTAAAATAAACTTCAATATTAATTGCAGCAACAACACACAGTCACAGATATGGACTCTATACCCAAGCACTAAGTGAAGGCATCACTGAAGTCCTACTATCATATAAGAAAACACTTGTAGAAGTTGAATCTCTAGTAATAGGGAATCACAATTACACCTTATCATATGTCTACAGTTACATTGAGAAATATCAAGGTCTTTTCAATACATTGAACAGAATTATAACAACTATTAAAGAAAGGAGATTAATGGGCTGTCAGATATTGAGTTTAATTCATCAATATATTTTAAGTGGCAACAAGTCTATTCATGATGCCGTTTTAAAGTAAGTTTTCAAGTATTCAGATAATTTACAGTGATATAGACTTTAAACTATTTCAGTATTTACAGATTAATAAGTATTTTTAATGAAAACCTCTAAATTTTGTTAATTTAATTTGTGGTCATATTAATTTTTAAATAATTGTAATCTTGTTAATCTTGCATTTATTGTTGTCTTATATATATATATATTATTTTTTTTGTTGTTGCTTAGATGGGTGGACGAGCTCACAGCCCACCTGGTGTTAAGTGGTTACTGGAGCCCATAGACATCCACAACGTAAGTGCGCCACCCACCTTGAGATTGAGATATAAGTTCTAAGGTCTCAAGTAAGTTACAACGGCTGCCCCACCCTTCAAACCGAAACGCATTACTGCTTCACGGCAGAAATAGGCAGGGTGGTGGTACCCACCCGCGCGGACTCACAAGAGGTCCTACCACCAGTAATTACGCAAATTATAATTTTTGCGGGTTTTGATTTTTATTACACGATGTTATTCCTTCACCGTGGAAATCAATCGTGAACATTTTTAACCATTAAAACTGAAAATTATTTTAAATGTCTGAAACAAGATAATGACAATGCATGTGTTTAACAATATAAACAGTTTTAATTTAGGATATAACATACTAAAGGCAATGACAATACTAGAAATGCTTATTTAGAAGATGTGTGTACTGTTGATTTCTTTTTCATTATTTATACATTTAAAAAATGAAGACATCAAAAAGGAACTCTATTAGTTTATATTTAAAAGTAATTTTAAACATTACAGAATATTCACAAGTGTGAACAAAGTATTCATACATCAACTATGTACTTGGCTTCTTTATGGGGAATTAAAGGATGTGTATCAAGAGTTCTTCATATCAAAAAGAAAAGATGACTCGTCAGAAACTTTATTGTCAACACCATCTTCTTCTAATGTCTGTGACAAAACTCTTGTTTCTACAGTAAGTTTTTTTTTTTATTTACTAAAGATATGAATAAAGATAATAATATATAAGGTAATTATGTACGTAGGGTAATATTGTAAAGTAATTAAAGCGGCTTAAGATGACACAAAATGGTAGAGTAACAATTATTTACATGTTTATATTTTCATTTATGTCTTCAATATGTGAGCCCCATTTATAAATAAACATGTTATTTACATCATATTTATCTTAAGACCCCAATGTGTGACAGATCCCTTAATGGCAATTTTTAAGCAACTTCTCATTTTTTTATTCCAATAAGGGCCCTTTTGATATTAAGTAGTTACTCGAGTCCTTAGACATCATAATGTGAATGCTACAGCCACCTTTGAGACATGAAATCGGAAGTTTCAATTTTATTGTCTGCAGGACTGTTTCAAGATAAAAGGTATGATAGTACCTATCTGTATGAGTACAATATGCCGTACCATAAGTACACGGCGATCCCACTACTATGATATAATACCCGGAGAATGCTTCTACCCATTCATAGTAACCTTTTACGACACTAACAGAAAGTGATATGTAGAATGAGCAGTCAGCTTCTTTACAATATATTATTTTTTTGTTACTAGTCATCAGGTGAGACAGGAGTATCCATACCTATCTTACTAAGTAATATAAAAATATTTTATTTCAGTTGCAGGAGACATTAGGTTGTGGTTACACACTCAATCCAACACTGATACCACATTTCATGCCACTGTCACTAGCACAAGAAATATTGTTTATCGGAAAAACTGTAATACTCTTCGATTTAGATCCAAAAAAAGTAAAAAAACACAGTGGCTTTGCTTCAAGCAGACCGATGTTGCCTTTGAAAAAATATGGAATTGAATCTAGAAGGTAAAGAAATTATAATGTCATTATGAATATAGATACTGAGAGTGAGGGTGAGGTCACACTAACTATAATTAACAATTTTGTGTACAAATACTTCATTATTTTTTGTTTTACTTGTGCATATGAATTCTTAAGAAAACCAAGCACATATTTTATAATAAATTACGCAGGTTTACAATTTGGGAGGACAAAGAATCTGAATTTCATGAGAAACTACAAAAACTTAAAGATCCAGATAATTTTGAAGTTCATAATCTGAGAAGTGTTATAAGGGAGATTAAAGAATGTGTAACTAAGGTAACATTGTTTTGATGTTAGTTGATGTTTAAATGAACTTTTATTAGTCTTTATATTGATTAATAGAGATGTTTCTAAAAATACTCTCATATTAGAATTGTTTTTGCAAAAAGAACATAGATATTAATTGTAAAATTACATAGCATTTGTTTTTTTTTTTAAGTGTGACTGAGGACAAATGGAAACATATCGCTGTATCTTTCACTGAACATTAATAGTAGATGTGCACTATGTATAATTTGTTTATCATTTGGCAGTAAGCATACCACCAGTACAAGCTTATAGCAAATTCATTCTTGAGTGAATGATTTTTTTGCTGTTTTAGATTTTGGATGACACAACTTATTTTCGTTATTATATGTTATTGACAAAAATATTTTAAATTACAAATCATCTGGTTGATACCTGCTCATAGACTAACCAAAGTCAACACCACCAATCTAATATGTAAGTTAGAATTGGCAGTGCACACAGGCTGTGATTGCTCAGTGCAGAAAAGTATGCAGGAAATTGCTTAAGAGCATAGCACAATGATACCTGTTTGATTATTTAACACAAGATCTATTTTTTTATAGCATTTGTGGACAGTGGCAGTCGAAGAAGCCCAATTGATACATGAGTTGAAGCTAATGAAAGATTTCTATCTACTTGGCCGGGGCGAATTGTTTCTGGAATTATTAAGACTCACAGCACATATGCTGGACAAACCGACGATTCGCACGTCAAGTAGAGGTGACCTTGTTATTTAGGATTACTACGTTTTTTTTTACCTAATACATTATCATGAATATTTCACATTGAAGGGCTTAAGCTGGGATTTTTAGTGATACCGGAAACAAATTAAAGGCAGTCAGAATTACAGTACCATGTTTACCAACTATCTTTAACATGGTGACTGGCCTGACAGGGAATCCCAGTTTTGACTCGGTGGTACGCCTGTCAGGGCTTTTAACCACTCGACCAACGACGCCCTTGTGTATTTAATACTACAATGTCGACAATTTTTGCTTCATAAATGATTTTTAGATGATCTTAAGTTGCCATTACCGTTCACACTAGCTTTCAGTCTAGGTGATGAGTTATGCAACGGAGTCTTAGACCTCATGTGCTACCTTTGGTCTCCGTACTTCACAACGCAATAATAATTATATAAAGTTTACAAGTGTTTAATATCACCCGTCGTAGTACCATCTGGAGTTTGTAATGTGTGTAATAGTGGCTATTATTTTCTTTCATTTTTCAGACATGAACCAGGCTTTTCAAATGGCGGCACGCTCCGTTTTCCTAAGTAATAATACTGATATAGAAAAGTTTAGTTTCGAGCTACCTTATGTTAAGCCGAACATATCAGGGAATTCGTCGATTGACGAAGACTACAGTACCGGTGAGATTCTTGTAAAATCTTAACAGCGTCAATATCGTCTTTTCTAAGGTTGTAACAAGCCTTACGTGTGATTAAAAATGCTTTTCTTCGGTTTTCGTGAGTATTGTACAATTTAAACTACTTTTACTTTACTTTTTAAAATACTTGTAATTTAACTATTTCCGAATAATTTCGTGTGAAACCGCCTAATACAAGATGAACTCGTTTGCCTAAAATAAGTTAAAACTAGCAGTAATCATCATCAATAAATAAAAAGTAAACTTTGTCTATTTTTTTTCTATTACGAGTCGACTTTTATACCTTTGATGTTAAGCAGCTAAGGTAGTCTTTACGCGAATACCACTACCCACCTTAAAACAAGTTTGGAGCTTTAATTGCATTGCCACACTCTTCAGACAGAGATGCATAATTGCTTTACAGCAGAAATGTATATTATTTAAATTAATATTATAAAGAGGCAAGATTTGTTTGTTTATTTGTATTTGAATAGGCTACGAAACTACTGAACCGATTTGAAAAATTCTTTCACTGTTTGGAAGCTACACTATTCTCGAGTGACATAAGTTATAATATTTTTTGAAAAAATTAGGGATCCTTACTAAAACTCCAATAATGTAACCCAAGGTGTAAAAAAATTACCTAAAATATTCTTTACATCGCGTGCCCTGCGAAAACTATTGATGATAGAATAAAATAATTTACTACGACTTTGTAGAACACATTACTATTTACCAAAAGTGTTGCGACAGCATATTTCTAACTATTATAGTTATGCCGCAATAAGTGTTCTTTTATTTAAAAAAATAAAACAACGTCAGATTTCGTTGAAATTTTTGTTAAAGACCCGAGCGGAGCCGGAGCGGGCCACTAGTAGGTAATATGATAGATAACACGAGTGGCTAACTAATGATCATTAATAATTAGTTGCAGATGGATGGTCGAGTATAATCTTGAAATATGATTTCAAATGGCCGTTACATTTATTATTTACACCGGAAGTACTTGCCCGTTATAATGATATGTTTCGACTATTGCTCCGGCTAAAGAAAACCCAACACGATCTGCATTCGCTTTGGAAAACGTACAAACAGTCGGCGAGGTAAAAAAATATACTATAAATTATGACGATCATTAAAAGTTTAAAAGTCGTCGTGGTCTAAGAGATAAGACGTCTGGTGCATTCGTGTTGAGCGATGCACCGGTGTTCGAATCCCAGGCGGGTACCAATTTTTCTAATGAATTACGTACTTAACAAATGTTCACGACTGACTTCCGCGGTGAAGGAATAACATCGTGTAATAAAAGTGAAACCCGCAAAATTATAATTTGCGTAATTACTGGTGGTAGGACCTCTTGTGAGTCCGCGCGGGTAGGTACCACCGCCCTGCCTATTTCTGCAGTGAAGCAGTAATGCGTTTCGGTTTGAAGGGTGGGGCAGCCGTTGTAACTATACTGAGATCTTAGAACTTATATCTCAAGGTGGGTGGCGCATTTACGTTGTAGATGTCCATGGGCTCCAGTAACCACTTAACACCAGGTGGGCTGTGAGCTCGTCTACCCATCTAAGCAATAAAAAAAAAAATTACCATTGGTTTGAGGCCAGTATAGTGTCATGAATGTGTTCACATGTAACTAATGCTGATAATCAAATGGTGAGACAGAAATTTATGTAACAGGTTACCCGGTATTGCGGTGATCACTTTTCTTTTAATTTATTTATCAATTGAGTTTATTTATCATTTTTTTAAAGAATTCATAGCTATAGAAATGAGCTATATAATAAAGCTAAGAACTATTAATGTTTGCACAGTTTCTCGATGTCCCAACTACACAACAAACTGATGTTTCTAATGGACAACCTCCAACACTACATGCAAGCGGACGTATTAGAAACCAATTTCTCTCGTCTGATGGACGCTGTCAACAAGACGAACGACTTTGAGAAACTCAAGAAGGCTCACGCCACGTTCCTGGCTGATATATTGAGTCAGTCATTTTTGACTGTGACTTTGGTAAGTTTTGTTTTGTATGAGTTTCTTTTTTTTTGCTATAAGGCCAGGAACATTGGCAATACCCCAATTACAAGTTATTTAAAAAACTCTAAAATGGGTATTAACCCTCTGAGCGCGAACCGTCGATATATTGACTCTATCAAAGCATGTAAAGTGCGGGCCGTTGGAATATCGAGTACTGCTCAGTTTTATTGTAAGTATTAGGTATCTACCTATACGGGCGTGTCTTAGGGTCCGCTTGTATAACGTTTTTAATAAGGTTAATAACATTTATGATTAACCATATTAAATTATTTTGCTGTGAATTTAGCATTTTTGTATAAGGTACTAATTTTTTCAAAAAATCCTTTAGCAATTTCTGTAAAGTGTAAAATAAGCTCACTACTAAAAAGGTTAAATTGTTCCTATCATTTTTCAGTCGTCAGATAGCGATTGTTCGGGAGATCCCGCCGATACATTAAATAACCCGGTGTTCTGTAACATTATGGAACTACTGAAATTGTGTCATTCATTCTGCAGTATGAGTGAGATAGCAAACGATAGGGAAGCTGAAGATTATTACATAAAAGGATATTCTGAAAGGTATGATATGTCTTTCTATCATTGCTAGCTTTTGCTCGCGACTTCGTTCGCATGGAATAGTTCACAAATAAAGCTTTATTTTAGAACAAATTTGGTTAGCATAAAAAACGTTATAGTGAGCCAACCTTAACATATAGACATATGTTGTCGCGGACTTTTTTTAGATCTTTTAAACAACAATTCTGTCATACATTATTTTAGCGAAACTTTAACCGTTTCTGCAGCGCACGCAGCGGAAGCTCTCAAAAGGTAAAAATAACCCCGATTTTGAAACATTCTTTATTGGTGCTCCGCGTGTATTAGTCTTAGCGTGATGTTATATAGCCTATAAGTCTTCCTCGATAAATGGGCTATCTAAAAATGAAAGAATTTTTCAAATCGGACCAGTAGCTCCTGAGATTAGCGTGTTCAAATAAACAAACTCTTCAGCTTTATAATATTAGTATAGATTAGATTAGAATAGTGTACATTGACAAAATTGAAGAAAAAAAGGCATGCGTGTATTGTGTCCACAGTAAAATTTCAGTGTGCATTTCACAACAATTCAAAACAATTCTGCCTGTTTTTGCCACGTAACCGTCATGCGCTCCGATTCGAAGGGTGGGACATGCGCTATACATTTGAGGCTTCGACCTCATGCCTTAGGACGGGTGGCGACCTTCAAGTCCTAATTTGTCGACGTCCAGATAACCAGGAGACAGAATTCGTTCTGGCCCCAACGGCCATCCGTTCTACGAGCAATGTGTCCTGCCCACTGCCACTTCAATTCGCAATCATTTGGGCTATGTCGGTTACCATGGTTTTCCAGCGAATCTCCTCATTTCTGATTTTATCCGGGGAAATTCCGAGCACAGCCCTCTCCATTGCTCTTTGGGTGACCTTGAGCCTTCTCATAGGGCCTATTGTGAGCGACCACGTCTCAGTGCCGCGTGTGTATGAATCTTTAATTAATATACTTTCTAGGTTCAACAAATTAGTGAAGCAACTAATGCAACTTCTAGTGTCGCTACGAGATCGTCCGTGCGGCGTTTACTTAGCGAGACTTCTGATGAGACTCGACTACAACCGGTGGCTCAGTAGAGAGGCGCAGTTAACGCAATCTGTAACAAACATGTTAAGATACTGATGAGGGCTTACTTACCACCCTCAACATCGGAACGGTAAGTTTAGTTGGATTCGTTTGCAGTTTAACGTTAACTCTTTACCTCTTAGAGCTTTTTTTAAACTCATTCGTGCTTCACTTGTTTTAGCAGGAGTTAAGAAAACTTAGTGTTTTATTATAAAGAAAACAAGGTGAGGGTAATGCAGTATCTATTTCGCATGTCATGGTGAGCATTTCTTTATAAGTGAGAATCGGTTTACCTATCAAACGAAAAAGTAGAGATTTTTTTACATAAGGGTTTATCTTCAATATTCCACAAAAATTACTCCCGGTAGCGTATTTCCATTTCCGTGTTCACTATGAGGCAGTACTGTCATGAAAGACGCACGGGTTTGTCGCGCTAACTGCCTTAACAAATCCATGTTCAATTCAGAGTGCGCGTCCTGGAGGATCCGTAATTACGTGTTTCGGTATGGTAATGGTAAACAGTCGACGTCGCTCTAAACACATCATTACGGATCCTCCCGACCCATCAACGGTGCTTTTAGGTACATACTACAAGCACCGGTCACCGTCCTCGCCGAATCCGTCGCTTGCGACGAAGGACTCAACGAGTGAATTAACCCATAGCCACAGCCCACTTAGTTTTTCGCCGGATCTTGCTAGGGCCAGTGTTAGCAACACTCCCGGTTTGAGCCCCGTAAGCTCACCTACACGTCAAGGAGAAGCTAAAATAGCCTCTCAAGGCTATCAGCATAGATAGGGGAAAAAATCAATTGCGTACGGGTTTGCAAGGAGTATGCGCATTGATTAAGCGACACAAATCCGTGTTTGTTTGAAGGCATTTTTAATTAATGGGCAACAGTTTGGTATTGTATTGTAGGCAATCAACGTAAGTAGGTAACATAAAGAAATATGAACAAGTAATTATATAAAATCAATGTTTTTTAGCAGAAGGCTCATTATCATCAATATTTGATGCAATATTATGAACGTGTTTTCTCTTCACAGTTTCTGACTTGGCTGGTCGTCCTGATCGAGTCCTTCCACTGCATGGCAGACCTCTTTCTTTGCGGCGAACGATCGATGTTGGTTGTACATGAATCTTTCGAGATTTTCGTCAAACATTTTTTTCAACTACAAATGATATAATACTCGATGGAGTTTGTAGCTTCGACAAATCAGATCCCAACTTTGTAAGAATGTTTTTATATGCAGCATTTGAATCATTTTCCAACATATCAGTAATTCTTTGCCACTGAGCTTTAATATTTTGAACAGCACTGTCAAAGTTTTCATTGTTGATAGTTACACTGTTTTCCGCTCGATTTCTCTCTGGTATAGCATCATTTGGTGTAATAGAGTTAGCCGGATCTAATCAGAGTTGGCTGTATTCATTATTTGTGCTTGATTTACACCTAATATTTTCAAAGAATTACGATGAAAACTGCTCACCCAGAGCTAATTTCGCAAATTATTGATGATCATAATCATTCAAATGTAGCGATGCGGAGTACAGTTCCATGTTTCTTTTCTAGAGTGCAGATATGTATACAAAATCTACCGCCAGCGCCATACGGACAGATTAGTTTTCTCTTTCACAAAGTAGGTATTGTCATACATATAAACTTCTTTTTTTTTCTACTTAAGCTGATAGCCTTAAGAGGCTATTTCAACGTAACCGTAGTAGGTGAGCTCACGGGGCTCAAACCTGACGACGTTGCTGACACGAACCCTAGCAAGAGCAGTGCTTCGCAGAATCTACCGCCGGATCGGAAACGCGACCCATTGAGAAGATCCGGCGAGAAACTCAGTGGGCTAATTTACTCGTTGAGCCCTTCGTCGCAAGCGACGAGTTCGACAAGAACGATGACCGGTGCTTGAGGTACCTAGAAGCACCGTTAGTGGATCGGGAGGATCCGAAATGTCTTATTTTGGGCGACGTCGACTGCTTTCCATTATGTCCGCAGGATCGAGAATGTAGTTATCGGCGGCCACGATCAGAGGGTTCTCGTGTCGTGCCGCTTTGTCGAAGTGGTGCGAACTTCATGGCTTAGTTCCATGTATCGCCTTTAACACGTGTTTAGAAGAGCAGTTGACCTTGCAAACCTGTGCGCGATTGGAGGCGCACTCTGAATCTAACAAGAGTTTGTAAAGGCTGTTAGCGCGACAAATCCGTGCGTGTTTGATGGCAGTACTGCGTCATAGTAAACACGGAAATGGAAACACACCACCCGGTAGTAGGAGGGTTAAATTTTCATGTGATACGGTTTTTGGAGAACCCGTTATTAACAAGCTTTACGATATTCATTAGATTGTAGAAATTCGAATGCTTTTATGGTTTTAACTCATTAACATTTTGATATCTGAATTAATTTCTAAAGAGAAATGAACCCATATTTTTAAGTTTCAACTTAAAATAATTGCGTAAGTATCAGATGTTTAGTTTTATAATGGATTGAATTCTTACACCTTATTGTCACCATGTGTATTTATGTAATGAATGCCAAATGTATTATAAATTAATGATTTTAAAATAAAGCTTGTAACATACATGATTCTGATTTCATTTTATTTAATTTATAAAAACAGATTGTTGGTTAATGGGACTCCATGAATGCTTTAATCAGTATGCATTTAGTCATGTGACATGAGCATGGTTGTGGGTGATCGACAGCTTCTGGATCCAGTAATGTCATCTGTAAATTGTATCTGAAAGAAAAATATTAAATAAATAGTATCAACATGATTTGATTCTCATTTAAAATTATGCTATTACATTTAGTTTGTTTTAATTTATTTTCAATATCGTTTTTATGAGTCATAATGAAAACAATTAGCATTTTTTCATCACAAAAGTTCTCAAAATATTTCTGTAGTAAAAACTAAACCTTTCTGATGTGAATATCGTTAATGTGTAGAAATACACTTGATGAAACTCGCGCGCCACTTGTGTTTATTTTTTTTTTCTAAGATGGGTGGGCGAAATCACTGCCCGGCTATTGTTAAGTGGTTATCAGTGCCCATAAACATTAACCACGTCAATGCCGCCGCCCATCTTGAGACATGAATTCTAAGTTTCAGCTTTTACACTATAAAATCTGCCCCACTCTTAACTCAAACGCATTACTAGTTCATGGTAGAAATATACAGGGTGGAAACACCACTATCGTATGATAATGGTATAGAATATAAAAGATTTTAACAACCATTACTAGTTAAGTTATGCTAGAAACTATAGACCAGAAAAAAAGAAACAAGCTGACATATATTAATATTAAGTATTAGATTACACAAAATGTTAAAATAATAATTGTTTTCAACAAATCATATTTGTTTTTACAGACTGAATGATCAAACTATGGTAGTCTAATTTTGATCCCTTTTTGTTTTTATCAGCTAAATATATATCTTAAAATATAATAAAAAATTAAGCCTTCTATTTTTACCTCCGGTTATGTTCTGTATCCCTTTTCATGCTAAGTTGGAAAGCTATTGGTTCTCCTTCTTCCACTTCCACTTCGTGTGGTAATACTATTGCTGTTTGTTTCCAGTGTGTTGCCAAACTATTTGGACTGGTGTCCAAAATTATACGATTCTCGTCTTTCGTTTCAGACATACTGGGAAAATTGCATTCGAACCATAGACACAAACCTTCATAAGAACCAGATTTTTTAGCTCCTGAAATAGGGACTTTGACTCAATTACTGAATAACAAAATATAAAAACTTTGAATATTATACATTAAACTTAGATGTGTTATAATGGAAATAGATAAGCATTATAAAAAGATTAAATACCAACAACATGCTGGATGCTGAATTCATTCAAATCAGATGCATTGTCTTCCCTCAAATTAATCCAGCAAAGTGCTACTTCATCACCAAGCAAATCCTTTTGCTCTATATTCAAAATTTCTGGTTTAGTGGATTTGTTTTTGCGAAGATGTTTAGCAAAAGCAGACATTGATACTCCATGCACATTGTTCCATTTGCTGTATAGTGAAGGTATACTGCAAGTAGAAACAGAATGTATAATCAAGGAAGGTATAATTCGAAGGAGGGCGAATCTTCAGGATAATACACTAGCTTTTATTTATTTTGAACTATACAATAATGTTATCTACTAAGTTTAAACCCTGAGCGCAGGTACAAGTTTGTGTAGAGATACTAACGAATTGTTGATATCATTTCAACAAGTGTTTCATCTTGACTTCTATGATAAAAATTAACACTGTGGAAATAGTTGAAGCCACAATATTAATAAACTTGAAAATTACTAGTGTTTTGAACCCATGCATACAGATTGGTATCATTGTGTTGACTTCTGTTGTAAAGCAGTTATACATTCCAGTGTGAAAGGTAAGATAACCATTGTATATTATTATTGAAAGTCATCATCATCATCATCAAATTAATGTCATGTCTCAAGGGGGTAAAGTCTATGGGCCCAGGTGGGCCTTAACTCATTAACCTGTTTATTTTATAAAAAATAGAATGAAAAGAAAGTCATATTAGGATTTATACAATTTGCCTTACCTACATGGTGCAACATAAATAACAGCCGTTTCAGGAAACATTTCTCCCCCTTCCTTAAGAAACTTATCTCGAGCAATTAGCACTGAATCTAACATACCTTCATGCAATAGATAAAAACCCATCCATTCAGATACTATCACATCTACTTTTATGTTATTTGGTAATATTACATCTTCAACTTTACTGTGAATTATCTAGAAAAAAAAATTGTTTTTAATTATTTATATCAGTCTGTAGTAAGTGGTTCTTGTACAATTGAAACTTCTAAAAATTTGCTAGAACAAAGACATATGAAGTAAAAGAAGAAACCAACCAACTGATGATACCAAAAGAAGAAACAGAAAGTCCTATGTAACATTGAAACGCTAATGGAGATTTAACCCAAGATTTGGTATTCAACTATTTTTTTTATTTCTTTTTTTATGGAGTTTTAACAAATAAATGGTTACATAGATGTCTACAATACACAAGAAGACATTACAATTGGAAATTTTGGGTTTCATAATTTGTTCTTCAATTATGAATTGAATTGAATATGAATTTTTGGTAATTTTTTAGAAATCTTTGTTACTTTTTTGTTGTACACACAGGTGAATGAGACTGCAGGCTCAAAAGACCCTTTTCCTTGAGTGATTTTAAAAATTTATTCCATCAGATTAAAAATTATGAGCTTGTGTTAAGTTTATATTTCTTTGGTAAGACTGTATCTGTCTGCGGCATTTGAACACTAATATATTATTAAAGTTGTATACAAGTAAACCTGGGTTCTTTTTTAAGCTACAACATTGTATCTCATTAATGTTTTCTATTTACTCGATTCAGTAGTTATGCATACACATAATACAGTATTTTAATGGTCATTGTTTGCCATCTTGTCATTGAGATCCTTAAAGACTGACCTTTATGCCCCCACAACATAGTCTGTACAGTGTATTCAAACAAAATTAATTGTGTTACTGTATGTAATTTCTACAGGACAATCAAAATGTTAAAAAATTGCTTCAAATAAAATGTGTACTACTGTTTGGTCTTCATTAATAAAAATTTAATTTGGACAATACTAACTTCAATAACATTTTCGAAACCATTCTCTTTCACAATTTCTCTAGCTAAATTCGCTAAATTACTTGCTTCCACGGCATATACTTTTTTAGCATCTGCTTGGGCGCAGAAAACAGATAAAATTCCTGTGCCACATCCAACATCCATTACTATTTTATCCTTGAAATAACATTTATTCCCTAATATCGCTTTCTTATAAGCTAGGTTTCTTGGTTCGTCTTCTAACATCAATGTATGCACCTGTTGAATTAGATAATATAAAAAAATATTCAGTAAAGTTAGTCTTTTTAGTTTTTTTTTTATAGATTAACCTCTAAATCTTCGTAGCTATTAAAGTAATTGTTCTGCACTTCTTCAGTTTCCATTTTACTTCTTCGCTTAACTTACGAACTAGTCAAAATATTTAGTTTTTTATCAATGAAAAATAGATAGGTAATCGAAAAACAAATAAAACAAAAATATTGATATACCGAAATCAATCCACAAACTAGTCTTTGCCATAGATTTTTTGGTACAATTTTTCCTTATTAGGAAAGGCAAGGGGATCTAAGCCCATACAGCCTTTTGCCATAAATAAGACAATAAGACGTGTCATTAAGTGTACTATGATTCAAAGCTTTGCTAGCTTTGCTTTGTTAAGCAGCTAACTTCATATTTTCAAAAAACCTGCCAAAAAAGGTCTAGATTTAGCAGTGGTTTTATTTTTTATTCAAGTTTCATAACGGCTTATTGACGGTTTAAAATCTGTAAAAATGAAGCAAATTTACTGAATGAAGACTAGAGTTTTTCTAAAAAATCTAACAACTCTCCATGAATTTCCACTACTTAGAAGCTCCTAAATTTCATCTCGTTCAAAATCTATGGCACTATCTTGTTTCACTACATTCACTTTAATTTAATTTAATTTATTCCGTTATAAATTTTATTTTATTCAGTTCCATTACACTTTTAATACAACAAACATTTAGGTTTTGTTTCAACATTTTATAGGGTTCCATTTGCTCGTTAAATAGATGAAACGAATAAAAGTGATCTCTACAAATAAAGTGAGTCTATGAGTAGGCTGTATGAGGTTAGATCCCTCTACCTTTCTTATAAAGGAAAAATTGTACCAAAAAAAATGTCTATGAGTTGGTCATAGACAGATTTAAACGCTAATATTGCTACTTTTTAGCAAAATGACAAATATAATTTAATATTAAGATAACTTAAGATAAATCGAGAATATAAATTAAATGCTTCTCAATATAAGAAAATGGCTAAAGAAAGTGATATGTCATTATACAGCGATGTGCTTGAACCATTTCGTAGGGTCATAAACACTGAACCACCAAAAGACAAGTTATCGGCGTCTACAAATCTAAACTTTTCTGATAGTACTCAATCTATAAAAGAAGGTATAGTGAGAAATAATTTACTAACTATAAATGTTAGCACATTTGAGAGACATGTGGTACAATGTAATTTTAAGTTCAAGAAATACATTTAACCTAAAATTGAAAACAAGACGAGTGATCGTTGTTTTCATGTCTATTGTTCGCTGTTTTTCAATTTGTTGATTGTTTAAAATTTCTGTTTTCCAAGCGTAATCATTCGCGTTAGTTTGAAAAGGTTGATTGAAAGGGATAGTTGAAAGGCAATGTATGTCCATCAGTCAGTCAGTCATTCAGTCTTAATAAAAATAATATCTCATAAATATTTCTGCCTCTGTTATTAACAACAGAATCACCATTAGTTAAGTTTGTCACCTTTTCAATAAACTGCAGACGTCCAGAAGTAAAATGTCAAAACTTAATAAGTTTATAAACATTAAATAGGCCTCTCCAATCTACTGACATTTGGTAAAAGAAAGTCGAGTATCGGTAGTGTAGATGATGTGACACCAGATAAGAGGCTCAGAAGAGACTCAAGTGGTAATGGAACCACAGCACCACCATCACCATGGGAAACAAAACGTTTGAAGATTGATCTGATTGCTGCAAAAGCACAGGTACAGTGTTTCATAAACTTTTTTTTTTTTTTAAGTTAGAACATAATTTCAATGTTACATAAAAACAAAGACTCACTAAACGAAATCGAGAACAGATTTGATGATTTTCATATCAATTCCAATGGAAAAACACATATTATTGAAAATAAAAACATATTGAAATGTGAAAAGTTATAATAGATGTTTTAATTTATTCCACATTTTCTACCGTAAATCATTCTAATATATCATGGTTATCTAAATGACTCTTTCAAGATGATATTAGTGCAAACAATTGGCCTTAAACTTAAGATATAAAAAAAAATGTGATTTTTTTCCTTCCAAAAGGTAGATTAGGCCATATTCGTCCGATGTGGTCAATTAATAACTTTATTACCTTTCATTAAAATTGTATTTCATTAATATAAATACAGATAACCAAATTAGAATCTAGAGTAAACCACCAGCATACTATACGTAAAGAGATGCAGATATTGTTTGAAGAAGAGAAGGCATCTCTTATAGAACAGCACAAGAGAGATGAAAGAGCTGTCAGTGATATGGAAGATAGGCTGCAGTTGATACGTAGGCGAGAACAAGAGTTAAAAGATGAGTTTAATACGGTAAGGTTTTCATTGATTCACATATAAAATTCAATTTGATAAAACAAGTAACAAACATGATCTCTATATAAGTTTATTAACAAAATATAAAAATCATTACTGCTGATTATAATTTACAATAATATTGATTAATTGAGTCAAATCAAAAGTACTGACTATTGTCAGATGAAAATTGACATGAGTATTGTTACTATGAATTGCAATAACTATTATAATATTAAAATAACAAATTTATTTTCATCTGTAGGATAAATGATGATTATAATTTTTTACTTAAAAAAAATTAACTTGTTTTCATGCAAAGGCCGCCAAAGAGCATAAAGATCTTAAAGCAAATTGGGATAAAGAGAAGACGGATCTCCATAAACAAATAGCAGATCTCAAGGATAAATTATTGGAAGCTAATGTTAGTAATAAAGATCAAATATCAGAAATGAAAAAGGACATGGATGAATTGTTACAGGTATAAAATTAAATTAATAATTTATATTGGTTTCAGTAAATTCCTTATATAATAAAATGGTGATTTATCTGAATAGTACATGTTCTATGATGATGACTATCAAACACAATGATTTTAACATCTTTAGGCTCTGGAAGGTGCACAGTCGGAAGTTGAAATGCTTAAAAAAGAGCTAGTGAAGCAGACAAGTCGTGCCGAACAGTGCACTCAGTTGAAGAATCAACTGGAGAAACAGAACTTTGAATTCCAACAAGTGACCTCGAAATTAAAGGAGCTTGAATATGAAAGGGATTCTTATAAAGACTGGCAGACTCAGTCTAAGGTAAATGTTTCTAACTTACCAATAATCATTTTAAAGAGTGTAATGAGTAATCATTACCATCATTTTGATTATTGATTAAATTACCCTTTATGACTGTTAGTCACATGAATGAATATCAATCATTTAACCTATTGATTAAAATTAGTTCTATGTTTTAATAACCAAAAAAATGCTGAAAAATAATATGAAATGGAAAGAATAGTTACAGTTTTATATGAATATCATTTAGCGTTATAATTAAAAAGATTTATTTTCGGAATAGACAGCCCAAAAACGTCTTTGCAATATGGCCGAACTTGAAAAGGAAGTGACGCGTCTCCGAGCCAATGAGCGTTCGCTTCGTGATGCGATTTGTAATAAGTTGTTGCTGGAGGAACAAGTTCATCAACTCACTTCCAGAGTTGAAGCTCTTCAACCTGTTCAACTGGAGTTGCATGAGGCTAAGGTAAATAAGTAAATGATATCTTGAGATTTTGTAGTTTTGTTAGAAACATGTATATAACATAACATATAGGCTAGATATAAGAATTCAAAGGGTTTAAAGGGGAAATTGTTATATCTAAAAAAATTCACACATTTTATGGATGTATGAATTATCAGTTTATCCTATGCTTTTTATCAAATTACTAGAATTTAACATAAACATTTTTCTAAAGTAATACTTATAATAGGTAACAAGAATATAAACGAACTTTTATAATTGTTCCCAATTTAAAGGTAGACATTTTATTAAACCTCTACAATAGAAATGAATTAAAAAAAAAAGAATTAAAAAAAAGGGACCGCGTGAAAAAAAAAATACCTACAGAACATTTATTCATTAATTACAAACGTCATTCCTTGTGACTTCCTCTCTAAAATCACTTAATTATTAAATATTTAACGAATTTACAATCGTGTTTTACTCACTGCGGAATAAAACTATTTTATTTAAATAGTTCCGAAGAGATTTTGTCGGTAGCCTTTTTCCCGAAATATCTAAACAGAATGTCTAAATATGTTTTGATGACATATTTTAAAGAGTTATTTATAATTAGTGTCATGATCAATAGATTCCGACCGAAAAACGGTGTCCGATTTTTTCGGATGAGGGCTCCATAATGAATTTAAATATATATAGATAATAGTTTTGGGGCATCGACTTTCTTGAGATCTTATAAAATACGTTTAAATTATTATTTTTGTATGTTTTAATCATGATAAAATATGAAATTTTATATAAGCAATCATATTAAATCGATATCAAAGTCATTAAATAATGTACAACCCAAAACAGACGGCCGAACTGACGTGACAATGACATTTGGTGCGCTCAACATGGCGGATTTTCGGCCTCATTAGACATTTACGTATATTCATGTTTCATTTTATGTACGCACTGAAATACTGTTATATTGTTTTCCAGCGAGTTAAAGTGCTGAGTAAGAACGAGATAGATATATGTTTATGTATGTGCCTTCAAAATGGGTGCTATTTATATAAGCAATTGTACGTATAGAACAATATGTCGTGTCCCTACTATAGTCGGATTTTTTATTAGACGAAGTAAACTGACGTTTACTGTGTTGTCAGTTTTTGATGAAATAAAAATAGTGTTGTGACAAAGTGAACAATTGAAAAAACTCCTGAATTAATGAAATTGCCTCGATTGTCTAGTGAATAGTTAGTGTGCCGAACTGCCGATATCGGGCACGGGGTTCGAATTTTAGCCGTGCTTTGTACNAAGTGACGCTTCACTCGGGTTGCTGCCAAAACTCTCTGATCATATATAATAAGAATAGAGTAATGGTAGGCCATTGAGATTTTTACTAATGGAATCATTAATATCTAAAAATATTAAATAATTCATGGTTTTAAGTAATAATTATTATTACAATACATAAATATTGAATTGAACAACAATAAACTAAAAAGTCTGTGAATTACAACCATTAGCAATTTTTTTAATTTGTTGTTCAAGTCATAGACAACTCTTTCGTTTGTCAGCATATAAGTTTACTATAAGGCTGTATGGGCTAATTTTCCCTTTGTCTATTGGCGAATTTAAAAACTATGGCACTCAGTTTTGGGATGTTATCAAATAAGTAATTAATTTTTTTGTAAAACAATGCTAGGGTGAAAGAAATGTTGATACATAAACTAAACAACGTAAAAAAATAAGGCATAGTTTTTCAAGTACAAATAGTTTTGTCATGAAGTTGGCCCACTTTTGGGCATTGTCCTTTAATAAAACAATGTAGTTCAGTATACAAATAAGTTGTTTTTTATTTTATTTATTAAAAAGATTAACATAAAGTTGAAATTATATTATAAAAGAGAACTATTTTGTAAAAAAGATGATAAATAATGTGACGTAATGGTTATTAACAAATGATACAAGATGAAGGTGATGCTTATAGGGCTTAGTTACCAGGTCATAAAATCCCTTAAAAATAAAAATAAATTTTGTCTCGCCGCGATCGACTGAACTAATAGCCACGATAGACCGGTCGATCGCGATCTACCGTTTGGCCACTGCTGGTCTAAAGCATGTAAATGTTCGCATTAACTATGTTTTCATTTCAGGTGAAGTTGTCGAGTGTCGAGTCTCAGTTGGAGTCGTGGATGAGTGCGGCGCGCGCGCACGGCGTGGAGTCCGCGGGCGCGCTGCGCGACGCGCTGGAGTCCGCGCTCGGAGCGCAAATCACCGCCACCGCGGACTCCACGCAGGCGCAGTCGGCCCTCGCGCACCTCACCGAGGTAACCTCACCACCACTACCTCCTTTATAAAACTACTCACCATTCACTAATGTACTGTTCTATATAGAGCGTCCATTAATTACCTGAGACGTTTTTGAGAATTTTTTGACCCCCTCTTCCCCCTTGGTGATTTATCGTAGGATTTCTCTCAACTCACTCCCCCCCCCCTTCCTCCTAAGCTCACGCGAGATTTTTCATAACTTCTATTTGGACGGTTAATGACGATTATTGAGAAAAAAAACTTGCTCTATTAATTTTATTGAAGACTAGCAAAGACTAGTATTTGTGAATTTTACCGTAATTTAAAATCACAATCATAAAATTAAATAATGAATATCAAACAAAAATTAAGAAAAGATTTATTCCAATTCAGTCCATACGAAAAATACTATTTTCTCAGATTTGGCCATTTTTTATTTTAGAAATAAATTTTCACGCAATTTTACATCGTTTTCTGCGAGAAATATAATTACATGATATTTACTAAGGCTTCCAGATTTTCATTTAATTTTTTTTTTTTTTGAGAATATAATAGTAATAAAATGTACGTAAGGGCTTATTTCTAGCAACATTAACCACAATTAACTTATTTAATACTGTAAATAATGATGAGAGCGATTATTGATTTCGAAGAAAACAATTAACAACTTAATTTAAGCTGCAGAAAAAAACAGATTTCTCTTGAACCTAGGAGAGAATATAAAAATCATTTTCTGAATATGAAACGACATTTCTTTGTCTATCAAATTAAGTTAAAACCATCATGACCCGACTTTTTTTAGGGGCCCAAACGCCCTAAGAAAATGGGCATTGTCCTTTGAATAAATAACGTTTTTTTGTGTAAATAAATTGATTTAAGTTTTGTACACACAACACTAGAAGTGTGAGCGAGAGATCCAATATTCCTATATGTGTGAGCGAGAGGTCTGATAAAAATGATTTATGACTCAATTCGCACGTTTATAATGGCCCAAGTATAGGTAGGTATGTATGGGTTGTACTTTTGAATCTTATAACGAGGTTCCCAACCAAGATATATGCATACATATCGATTGGTGAAAGGCCATTTAAAGTTTAATATTTTGAAAAATACCTTCTCATTTTTTTTTTTTTTTTTTTTTTTTTTTTTNATCGAATAGAGTAAACTTAATTGAAGTTCAATTAAAAACATTGAACTGTTGATACTGATACAAAATAAAACGGACTTTTAATTACAAACATAAACGGCGCTTATTAAGCGAAATGTCGCATGCAAGTAGTATGCAAATTATGCATAATCCATTACAGGAAGTGGCGACATTGAAATACGAACGCGACAAGGCCACAGGAAAGTTGAATGATCTCACAACGGTACGCAAAAACCAGGAGAGTCTCATACACAGACTGCAGAAGCGATTGCTATTAGTTACTAGGGAAAGGGATAGTTATAGGTGAGTCGATAATAATATGTTTACTTGTATAAAATACACTGACATTCCGTTTTCAGAACTAAAAAAAAACCGCTCTTTCATAAATGTGCTGAAGAAAAACTACATAACAGTACATAAATGCGATATTATTCCGCAAAAGAAGTACCCGTGACGTGTGCCTATGACTTCTGGCAAAAATACCATAGACACGGAAATGTTTTTAAAATATATATTTAAAAAAAACGTCCTAAGCTAGTAAACTCGATGTATCGACTCGATTAATGTGTTTATTTGGATGGTTGGACCACCGTTATATGTACAATACAACTGACAATTCCATCTTATGACTAAGGTGTTGCGGTATTCACGTCGCCATGTCTTTTTTTTTATTGTCCATGTTGGCAGACGAGCACACGGCCCACCTGATGGTGAGTGGTTACCGTCGCCCATGGACTTCTGCAATGCCAGGGGCAGAGCCAAGCCGCCGCCTACCGAAAATCTATGGACTATTTTATCACTTTACCAATGAGTAGTGTAGTGTATTAGAGTAATGTCTTCACTAAAGACGCGTGTACGATATTGTTTGGGTTTTCATTTGATATAGCTTGAGTTATTTCATTCATAGGCAACAACTAGACTGCTATGAGAAAGAGTTAACGGTGACACTGTGCGGGGAGGAGGGCGCCGGTAGCGTCGCCTTGCTGTCGGCGCGCGTACAGCAACTAGAGAAGAGCCTTCAGGGATACAGAGACCTGATTGCCGCTCACGATCCTCATGCGCATTCCAAAGGTGATGTTGTTGAGTTATATTTTTTTTTATTGCTTAGATGGGTGGACGAAATCACAGCCCACCTGGTGTTAACACTGTAGCCCATACACATCTATAACGCAAATGCGCCACACACCTTGAGATATGTGTTCTAATGCCGGAACCACACTGCGCTATTCGCTATTCGTTATGCGAGCTATTCACGCGCATACGGCGAAGTGTGGAGAGTATATTCGCCAATATTCGCTTTATTCGTACGCATAACACATAAGGACGAATAGCAAATACGCGTATCCGTCGAATTGTCGGTTTTTTGACACACTTCAAAGGACACGAATAAGCCGAATATGCGCATCGACTGCCCACACTTCGGTATGTCATTCGCTCGCTTGTGAGTTGTGGCGGTCGTGTATCGACGTGTCTTATGACTTGTAATCATCCACCAGCGTTTTCTTTTCGGTCTTTCAGTAACTTTTTACAACAAGTATTGGTAAGAAACATTTAGGAAATAATAAATTGCGGCAACTCTCAACACGTCCATCGCTCCACGCAAACAAGACACATATTTGCCTTATTTGGCATAATTCAGCGCACAAGTTCGAAGTGTGGATGGCATGTTTGTTGTTTGCGCGCTTCACAGATATTTTGGCGAATACGGCGTAGTCACATAACGAATAGCGCATAACGCAGTGTGGTTCCAGCATAAGATTTCAGTATAGTTGCAACGGCTGCCCCGCCCTTCAAACCGAAACGTATTACTGCTTCACGGCGGAAATAGGCAAGGTGGTGGTACCTACCCGTGCGGACTCAGAAGAGATCCTACCACCAGTACGCTGTATATGTATCTACGCTGTTTTACATTGTTCTAATGCAAAATCGTGCATTGATGCATAATTTCGTTAAGCGTGACGTCATTTGGGGCCAAATAAAAGGTGGTAATTGTTAATGATACTCTGCTATACTGTGATCAGGCTCATATTACGTCATACATTAGGTTTTGTGTTAGTTTGTAGACAAAGTAGACATGAAGAATTATTAAAAATTTATATAATTTATTAAATGTTATTTTAATATATTATCGATTGAGTACAGAATAGTAAACCTATTGTAACAGTAAACTTGTTTTTACGAGTCTCAATAATGCACTACCTGATGAGTTCATCACCCTATATTATATTTATGCCTGAAGCTACAAAAGATATATATACTCCTAATTATAATTTTCTTTTAAGAAAACCTGTTTAACTGAGTTTCAACAAAGCTTTACTTTTAATATACTAAAATTGCGAACATTTTTATTGGTTTAAAAAATACTAGCGACCCGCCCTCGCTTCGCTTCGGAAACTGTAATTTATTATTGATTTCTCCACTATTTAATGGATGTTATTATACATATTATAAACCTTCCTCTTCAATCACTCTACCTATTAAAAAAAACCGTATCAAAATTCGTTGCGTATTTTTAAAGATTTAAGCATACATAGGGACAGATATAGGGAGAACGAAAGCGACTTTGTTCTGTACTATGTAGTGATACCACGAGTGTGATTGAAGCGTGTTGAATTAATTATCGTGGTGCTTTTGCAGCTCTGGAGAGTCTCCGCAACGAAGTGACGCGATGGCGCGAGGAGGCGGAGGGCGCGCGGCGTGACGTCACCAAGCTGCGGACACAGCGCGACCTGCTCACCGCCAGCCTCGAGCGGATCGGTCCTCAGACGAAGGTAGCTGGGCTTTCTCCTTGTACACCGATTATTTTATTATTTTGTTTATGGGATTTTATGCCCTGGTAACTAAGACCGAAGACTTTAGGTCATGTCTTATTTAATTTATATGTATTCTTATTTTTTGGGGTTGGGGTGTATTGTGGGTTTTTATTGGTAAATCGCTTTTCTATTATCGAACAAGCTTGTCTATTATCTTACACAAAGTGCGGTACTCCCCGCAGTGCATAAAGTCTATCTCGGCGGTGAAGGCAATACGACCGCTGATAAGCGTCTGATGTTGGCGGATCCGGCGAGGTAGCAAGACATCGTGAGAAGGCTAAACGTGGCGGGAGGAGCTGATTGTACTGCCACCTAGATCACTTAAGTCTGCTTCGGTGATGAAGGCAACTCTATAGCTGATAAGCGACTGGTGTTGGTGGATCTGGCGTGGCAGCAAGACATTGTGTTAAGGCCAAAGGTGGCCTTAACACAATGTCTTGTAAAACACTGCATCCGGTTTTCTTCCAATTGTAGCGGGTTTCCGTTCCATTGGGGTCCAGAAAGCAAAGGACGAGAGAGTGTATTTGTGTGAGGAGCAAACAGTTATGCACTTAAAAAAAAATCCTGCGCAGATGACCATTTTCTGTTTAATGTTTACCGGATGCTGAAACTAAGTCCTCTGGCGATGGACAAAGGTAGAGAGGTCTGATACTGATGCTTATTGGGCTTTGTCTAATGTCTGCACGGAGGCGGCATAGGGAGAGTGGTCGCTTCTGCATCGACCCGGAGTAACGGTGCAATTCGGCAGCACACTATGCGATGAAGCTGCTCTATTTAGAGAAGCACAGCTTCTCCCGCTCAGCCGGGGAGGGGACTAGAAAAAGTGCTCTAAAGAAACGCTTGCTGGTGGTGGTAACCACGGCTGCCTAAGCATCCCAATAACGTGGTCGACGCTATTATAGAAATAAAACAATAACTAAATCAATGACTTTCGGCGCGTGGAATGTGCGCACTTTGTTAGACTGGCCCAGCAACATATGCCCTGAACGGAAAACTGCTATAGTTGCGAGAGAGCTCCAGCGCTATAATGTGGATATTGCTGCCCTGAGCGAAACCCATTTAGCTGACGAAGGAGAATTGACAGAGCGAGGTGGTGCTTACACGTTTTACTGGAAGGGCACACCGGCTGGCTACAGATCCAAGGCGCTCAGGGGTTGGGTTTGCAATTAAGACAATTAAAATAGAAGGCACCTTTAATTACAAAGATAAATGTCGCTTATTAGGCGAAATGTCGCTTAAACAAAATAGCCTTTACCTCTCGATATCATTTTTGTGTTAACATGTGGCATTAACAGTTCGATGTTTTTAATTGAAATTCAATTAAAATAGTTCTATTCAAATAGCTGAAGAAGATTTTTTTATTATGTTTTTTTTCTTCAATTTTTTAATTTAAATGGCTCTCCGGTTAAGTTGCAAAAATGTCGCTTAAACCAAATAGCCTTTCACCCCTCGACATCATGACTGGTCGCTCCACATCGATAACTATCTTGATTATTGAATAAATATATAGTTTTTATATACACATCCATTCATTTCCAGGTGCTACACTTAACGAACAACCCTGCGGCAGAAGCACAAAAACAAATATCAAAAGAATTAGAAGCCGCCCAGGAAGAGGTGCGTAAATCGATTTTCACGTTTTCATTTTACATAGAAGAATACGAATATATGAAGCGATTATTCGAAAAGCCATGGCTGTTATGTACTGTTATGTACTATTATGTTTACTGGTGGTAGGAAGTCTTGTGAGTCCGCACGGGCAGGTACCACCACCCTGCCTATTTCTGTCGTGAAGCAGTAATGTGTTTCGGTTTGAAGGGCGGGGCAGCCGTTGTAACTATACTGAGACCTTAGAACTCACATCTCAAGATGGGTGGCGGCATTTACTTTGTGGATGTCTATGTTGGAGCGATCGTCTGGGATTCTTATAATAAAGACGCAGATTTTCATAGATAGTTTTTATTCTAACGGCGATACACTTTTTAGTGTCCGTACTCATTGACTGCGCAAGAAGAAAAGGGGCGAGCACACGAATGACGTTGACACATATTAGACGAGTGACAGCTGTCAGTTGGTATTAACATAAAGATGCGTTTAGGAATTATACAATTCTAACAGTCTATGGGCTCCAGTAACACAGGGTGGGCTGTGAGCTCGTCCATCCATCTATGCATTAAAAAAAATGTAGGTTCGTTTTGTCTTCAGATAAAGAAGTTGAAGGTTGCTCTACGCGAGGGAGGGGCTCAGGCGGACCCCGAGGAGTTGCAACAGATGCGACAGCAGTTGGAGAACAGTCGAATTAAGCTTAAGAGGTATTCATTTGTTTTAGTATTATAGGCTTTATTCCTTTGAAATTAGGGTGAATGTCGAATGTATGCATCTGCTTAAAATTCCAACTGTCACAGATAGACGTGAGTGAGCACACAACATGTTCTGCAGCCAGCTCTATCTGATTAACTATTGAAATATTGCAAGGAGAAGTGAATTGCATTTTTGTTTACTTAGACGTATTCTTCTATTTTCTCCCAGGACAGTGACACTAGAATAATTTTGATACTATTCAATATATATATATATATATATGTATATCTAAAATGGTCATGTCCTGTTGATTTGTTATTTTGCAAAAACCCATTACTTTAAGCTATAGGAAACGTCTAAAATTACAATTATTTTGTAATATATTCAAGCCAGCGTTTCTTCTCAAAATAATAAATAAATTTAGATCATGATAGATTTTAGCGGTATCGTTTCGGAATGTGAAATGGTAACGTGGTATTTAGCGCCTCAATAGACCCAGAAAATAATGTTAGTACATGTTTCAGAATGAAAGAAGAGTTCACGTCTTCCGCTCAAGAATACAGAGACGTTTGTTACATGCTCTTAGGGTATAAAATTGATCGCACTGGGCATAAAAATTACAGGTAAACTTAGTTTTGTTTAATCGTACAATAGTGCTGAGCTTATTTTACGATAATTACATAAAACTTGGTAAAGGCGCATCAGATAGTGAACAAGAAATCTGTTCCGTAATCATGATAAATAATAATACTGTTTTGGCCGATTACCTTAAAGCCTGTGTTTACCGAAATCTCAAAACCATTCAGAGTATTCTTCAAACCAATTAACCAATAATCAAAACTTTATAATCTTATTGTTATTTTGATTAATTTACTTATTAAGATCCTATTTTAATACCTACGAGTATATAAGGATTCCCACTTGCATGTGTTTTTTTTTATTGCTTAGATAAGTGGACGAGCCCACCTAGTGTTAAATGGTTACTGGAGCCCATAGACATCTACAATGTAAAAGCGCCACCCACCTTGAGATAAAGTTCTAAGGTCTCAGTATAGTTACAACGGCTGCCCCACCCTTCAAACCGAAACGCATTACTGCTTTACGGCAGAAAATAGGCGGGGCGGTGGTACCTACCCGTGCGGACTCACAAGAGGTCCTACCACCAGTAAATTGCGTGTGCGCTCATAACATTTTCTTTCATTTCTCTTCATCTAGACATTTCTAATTTTGTTTTTTGTAAATCCGATATAGTTATCTGTAGATTATATTATATTTACCTTTTAAATTTCACTTTTACTATGTTAGTTAACTCAAAATCAAATCAATTAGTCAATATTCTCGGTTTAACAATCGTGTTCGATTTATCCATGGGTTATGCCGTTAACACAGATGAGCTTGGGGTCGTGTAGGTCGAAAACGTAAAATAAACTATTTGTTCGGTGATATATTACCGAAAACATTTGTCGCGTGACGCGTTAACTTTATTTCCACAAATCGTCAGTGCATCAGCAACCACGTCACCCGGGTGCATTCATAATTTTGTAATGTTGTACTTTGGGAGGTGTTAAAGGAAAACGTCTTCTTGTGTGTATTCCATGTTTAATTATCATCTTGATCCTAGTTTACAATTATGAAGAAGCCTATGTTTCTGATTAGGGGGACATACGAGATTACACCTATTAATTATGTTATAAACTAATTCCTATGCTATGCTATAATATATAACTATACTCACTTCAATTTTAACATTTCATTGATACACTTAATAGTTTAACAATAAACGATTTTATGCAACCTAATCTTTGAATAACAAGCTCACACTGCACCCTACACTCCCTCTCTTCCCTGCTATTTATCCCACATGGTGGTGGGGTTAGTTTTACTCCTCGACTTCGCTCTGTCTTCGACATCCTAGTCAGCAACATTGCATTCCCTTTTGTCCTTCAGCACTACATCCGTCCACCTTGTCTTGGGTCTACCTCTAGGTCTCCTACGTTGGAGGTCGAGCAGTAGTGCCAAATTTCCGACTTAGTCAGGTGGCTTCCTTTTTACGTGACCATACCATCTTAACTTACTCTCCTGCGTCTTGTCGGCGATGTCCCGTAGACCGAGGCTTCTATACACGAACTCGTTGCGGATTTTATTGAGCTTGGTCAAACCGCACATCCACCTTAGAATCTATATTACAGCAACTTGAATGTTATGAACGTTCCGCTCCGGGTTGCCGCCCATGTTTCGCTGCCATACTTGTGGTAGGACCTCTTGTGAGTCCGCGCGGGTAGGTACCACCACTCTGCCTATTTCTGCCGTGATGCAGTAATGCGTTTCGGTTTGAAGAGCATGGGCAGCCGTTGTAACTATACTTGAGACCTTAGAACTTATATCTCAAGGTGGGTGGCGCAATTACGTTGTAGACGTCTATGGGCTCCAGTAACCGCTTAACACCAGGTGGCCTGGGTGGCCTACACCCATCTTTTTTTTTAGTTTACTAAGTTTTTATCTTTTCGTTCAGGATATCGAATATGTACGCGGAGTCGTCCGAGGAATATTTGACGTTTACCCTGTGCGACGACGGCATCGAGATGGTCCACACCGACTACTCGGAGACTCTGGGCGATCTGCTGGACCTGCATCTGCACCAGCATCAGTCCATACCCTTGTTCCTCAGCGCTCTCACCATGGAGCTCTTTACGAAAACCACAATCCAACACGCGATCGAATAGATTTTTTTATGAATATCAGTAATACCGTAGATTGGGGTGAATCGGGACCCTTTCCAAATCCAACACAAATTTTCAATGGTTTTTCTTAGCGTTATTATACATAGTTCATTACAATATATACACAAAAACTGAAAAAACTAGCTTCACCGTATAACAGTATGGAGACAATAGTTTTTCGATAGGGCTGGCACTATTTAGTTGTTAGGTAGGTACCTAACTTTAGGTAATTAACTTTTTAATATCTTTAATGAGTTAACAAAACTTTGATGACTAAATTAAACTATTTAATATTCTTAAACACTAAATAAAAGTCATTTTTAGTTCAACAAAGCTAAATCTAACAACTCAACAAAAGTATTGTGACATCCCAGATTTGTCCCTATTCTAACTCTAGTCTCTATTCTCCCTAATCTACCCTCCGTTATTCTTTATTCTGTTTAGGAATTTCAATTTGTGCAGACTGTTAAAATATAATGTATGCATGATTTAGAGTTTGTTTGTCAGAGCGTCAAAAAAGAATATGTGACCCCAAAATTCGATTTAAATACAAATGTAAGAAATGAATCATGTTATTTGTTAATTGTGTTAGCATGTATACGATAAATGTGCGGGATCATACATCTTAAACAAATTGTTGAATTTTTATTATTTTTAATGAAACCCACTGTCTTGCCTGATGCGGAGGATAGCCGCCATTCAAACACCATTGTGACCTCACGACTTGTGAAGACCAATAAAATGAGCTGGCTAATCCACCTGCGCCGGTAAACAAAAAAATCTTTGGCATAGTAACATTATTGATGAAAATTGAGGTCTGTGTGTATGTACTTATCATTTCTATTATTATATAAACTGTTCAGACCATCTCCGAGTTCCAGTTTGTATTCTTTATTTGTTTCACTTTTTTATTTTTTTATTATTGCCTAGATGTGTGGACGACCTCACAGCCCACCTGGTGTTAAGTGGTTACTGGAACGCATAGACATCTACAACGTAAATGCGCCACACACCTTGAGATAAAAGTTCTAAGTTCTCAGTATAGTTTAACTAATTATAAACAGATAGATATACAAAAAAAACGTTTCTGTGAACAAGATTGAATTTTTAAGTTAAAGTATTTATATTAACATCCTACATGCCCTAAATTGGGGCGAGTTATATTTTTGAAATTCGTACTAGAAGTGTCTATGGAACGTAATTTTATTTTATTGGCTTGAAACAATTTAGTTAAAACCATCAGGGCCAATGTCTGATAGAGAAAAACAGTTCACTACATTCCTATTTGTGAATTACTTTTAAAAAACTGGACTTTAAGAAGGTAAATTGTATTTTGTACTTTATGGATTGTGAATTAAATGATCAGAAATAAAGTTTTTTATTCGTAATACACCTTGCCTGCTGAGAGAGGAATGGTCCGTTCACACAGACCGGCTCGTAGAGGTGACCAAATTTTTGTCACATTGGAAACAGAGCCCTGAGTAATTATAGTAAAGTTTATTATTGCATATGCACTTTTTTTGTCATTAAGAATGCTTGAACGCGCTGCGTGTAAAATAGTAAGGGCTGAGTCACACCGGAATGGCAGCGGCCGGCAGCGTCGCGGCGAGCACTTCCAGTGTGAAACAATTTTAAACTTTATCTATATACTTAAAAGATCAGTATCGCTTGAAAAGGTTCCGACACAGCCGCCGCCCGCCCGCGGTGAAGCGAACAGCCGCGCGCCGTGTGCGTCTTGTCTGTGGTACTGCCCGCGGCTGCCAGCGGCGACACAAGGCCGCTCGCGGCACCGCTGTCATAATATATAATAACCAATTCCATCATGTTCACTCCTTACCGGTCACCGTTCTCGTCGAACCCGTCGCTTGCGACGAAGGGCTCGACGAGTAAATTAACCCACAGACACAGCCCACTGAGTTTCTCGCCGGAACTTCTCAGTGGGTCTCGTTTCCGATCCGCTGGTAGATTCTGCGAAGCACGGCTCTTGCTAGGGTTCGTGTTAGCAACGTCGTCAGGTTTGAGTCCCGTGAGCTCACCTACTAGTTAAGGTTCCGCTGAAATAGCCTCTCAAGGCTACCAGCTTAGGTAGGAAAAAAAATGTTCACTCCAAACACACGAGTATCATTGCCCAATGAAGAAACTAAACTAGTCAAGAGGAGACTAGGAGCTTGCAGTCTGGAGGCCGTGCGAGGCCGCCAGCGATGTGTGTACAGAGTTAATGTGAGTACGGGCCGCGTGAGCGAATACTACGCCATGACAGAACGTATACAAGTTTTGTAGAGTGTCACCTTGTTACGAAGAGACAATTTACTTCGCTTGCAGTCCTCTCTATCCCATGGTAGAGTCGACCGAGAAGGAACGCGGCTCGGTAGAGTACTGATTTAATCTGGGGACCGAATGTCATCCCTCTGTCGAGGATGACGCCTAGGTATTTTGACTTCGAAGCTCACGGTATGGGCTGGCCAAATATTTTGATGGAATGGAGTTACCGCGCTTAATTGATGACGAGATACTAGCAATGGTGTCGGGAGGGCCAGGCCAGGATTGGGTATTTGGTTTGTTATATTAAATTCACAATACAAAACAAAAAGGATTTTCGAAGGACTGAAATAAAAGTACAAGTTCAATGTAAAATATTTATGAAGAAACAGGGCAATATATTATAAGTTATCTAGATTACTAGAAGTCTACAACATTTATTAGTCAAAAAGCCAGACATTAAAAAGGAATAAATGAATTTTACTATTCCAATATCAATTTTAGATTAAACAGTTTTAAGTCTTATGTTAACGGATTTTAAACAATTTGTTACAATATTATAGAATTATTATACAATCTATGCCTTACACAGCTCCTGATTCTGAAGCTGAGAAAATACTTAAGAGAAACCAGCTATCAATTACGAAATCCAACTTCCGAAATAATATTATGGACACTTAATTTGAGTTATTCGACTGTACATCTTGAATGAAAAACGAACAATAAAATAAAATATTAAATTTTACTTGAATTTTTTTAGTAAATTTAGAATTTATAAATGACATTAAAATTTGTAACATGTATTTCCATTTTAATTTTCTATTCTGACGATGTTTAATCTAATTTTAATTTAATGAGGCGTTGAAGTAGTAATCGTGCTGATTATGAGGCCGTCCATACCTAAATAACCGTAGAACACCAAATGGTTAGTTGTACCAAATTCTAAATTAATTATTAAATAGTTTTGAATATTTAAAAAAAAACCCTTAGAATATTGTTTTGTTACTTTTTTCATTGGGATCATTCTTATCTATTTTTAGATTTTAGAGTGTTTCGTTAACATTAAATTGAGAAATTATTAAATAGTGTTGTTTAAACAATTTTTTTTGTGAAAATAATTAAAGTCGCTTCGTTCGATTTAGGTAATGTCTTTTAACATGTTTTCACAATGATTAGTTCTGTTATATGCTTCAATGATATCTCAAATATCTTTCTTAAGCTGTTCGATACAGTTGAAAAGTTCGATGGGGCTTCAACTGATGGAAATGATTTTAAAAAAATTGAACCGTTTTTCTATGTACAAATTTATCCCTGTTGATGAAAGTTTTAAGTACACAATTAAGATCGTATTTGTTAATTTAGTTTTGTGGCTTACTGCTCTATGGACCGTCGTAACATATTAAAATATGCTACCTATCTAAAAAAATATACAAAAATAAAATTTCGAAGCCAAAGAAGACTCCTATCCAAATAAAACGAAATGTCATGGTTTGAAAATTATGCTTCAACAAAAAAAAAAAAAATTTTTGTTCCTAATCTTAAATTTGGCATCACGTTCTTACGCAGTCTACCTTTCCATTTGACGTTCGCCTTCTACACTTTTAAACATACGAAAAAAAATAAAACGCCAATGCATACATTTTCACAAATTAATTCCTCGGTTTAACACACATACACACATCCATGAAAATTGGAGACATTTTGAATAATATTTAAAAAAAATAAACAATAAATTATTATTATACTTACAGCCTACAAAAAAAAAACCACTTCATTTTCAATGTAAAAAAGTTTCGAAAATTAAAGTCCTAAAATCTTATCTCGACATAATACTGAAAACGTATTTTTATAACATTCTGAACGTGTTCAAAACCGAATCGAAACAAGCAATACGCGTTCCAGCTTAAACGGAAAAAATTAATAATAAAAAAAAATCTAAAAACAAAACAAGAACATGTTAAATGTCATAATTTTCACAATTTTTTTTTTTCATAAAATTATTGCACTTAAAATCATACACATAACTTATTAATAAATATTGCATAAGCTTTAACCGCATTTCGTGAAGTAAGTCTTAAATAACTAAATGTTAATTAAAATTTTAAAAGAACATTTTATGTCAGTCCGATGAATGTGTCAATCATTTCATCAATAAGAGCTTCGTTTGTACAGCGACTTTCAACAATATGGAAATAACAGTGTAATCATTAAGTTAGAAATATTTAATATCCAAACATTGTGCTAACTACCAGTACATACCTAAAATTAATATTTTGACTAAATATTAAGTACGATTTGGTGCTCAAAATTTTAATAATGTAAGTGTTATTAAAACTAATATAATAATAATTATTATTTATCTATAAAAAATCGAAAAGGTGCATCAGGTTCGACAGATTTTTCTAAAATCTACACTGACTACATTGTTATGGAAATTCAACATAACCTGGCACTTTGATGACTGACTACCTGGCGCTATGAAACACTAATGTATTCAACGTATTTTTTGACGGATAGGTTTTAATTCCAGCATAAAGACTTATTTACACTAGAAGAGTTCTTCGAATAAGTACAATATAATAAACATTAAACATAACAGCGAGAATAAAACAACATTTTTACGTACCTAATGTAAACGAAAGTTTCCGCGTAAAAGAGTTTTACAACTGAAAAGACAGCTTGGCTTTTGAACGTACCATTGACGAGAAATTTTTATTATCGTCTGAATAGCTGAGGTGTTATTTGTTTGAAACATAATATGCATAATCTCGCTGCACTGATTCAAAAAACTCTCCTTGTTTATCTCTATACCGCCGCTTAGTTCTTAGACTCTAAGCATATTACTATGTCGTTGTAAACAAAGATAATCAATATTGTTCAATTTTACGATGTTAGTTAATGTTACAATAGAGCTTAGGTGCCGAATACAGTTTCACTTGCAAATTGAATAGACTACGAAGCTTGGTACGCTAAAACTAGAAGAGTCTATGACTATAGGACGTGCATGTCCAGTGCGCTTAAACCTCTCGCATTAGTCATCATATTGTCCGTTACGTTTACGGCTTCTGAAAGAAAATTAATGAAAATTAATAGAAGTATATCAATTTTGTTGGTTTTCGCGACACTATTTTTACGGTTAATTATTTCATTTTATTCGAGTCAGTCATTTTTCTGTGATCAAGAAAACTGTAAAGTATTTGAATCGTCTCAAACAATGGAATGAATATGATAAACGATAAGATTAACCGGATAAAATGGTTTTATTAGAATTTTTTGAGAGTGTATCTTATTCATCTTGTGTTATCATCATCATTGGTTGGGATGAAAAAGTTATACATTGACACGCGTATGTGGGTGCGAGTTTTGCTAAGTTGGTTGCCAGTGGCGCTGTTCCAACTCCAAACAAATTTGAGTTCACTTTTACGCTATCGAGAGAGTAAAAAAACTGGTAACTACATGGAGTTATGAATTTTTTGGTAGGTAAAGTCACCTTTGCAAGGTCCCCGATGCAGCGGGTCCACGACCCGGCCAGCGCGGCAAGTGGCCCGCTGCAGCCGGCACCAGGACGGGTAGGTGCGGCGGTCGGACCCGCACAGCGGCTTGCGACGGCCGCCGGCGCACCTGCCGCACGACACGCAGCGCACGCCGCTCGCGCCGCCCGACACGCAGCGCTGCCCGCTCGAACAAGACACACTCGAACACGTCGCGTTCGCTGCGTCATACCAAACTATGCAATCAGACAAACTCCCGTCCGGGCGTAGCTGGGATAGCCCCTTAAGGCATGCGTCCATAGGCCCGCGCCGGACGCACCTTTTTTTTCCTGCCTAAGCCGATAGCCTTGAGAGGCTATTTCAGCGTTACTTTAACTAGTAGGTGAGCTCACGGGGTTCAAACCTGACGACGTTGCTAACACGAACCCTAGGAAGAGCCGTGCTTCGCAGAATCTACCACCGGATCGGAAACGCGACCCACAGAGAAGATCTGGCGAGNTTAAAGTATAAATTCTACAAATAAATAATACTCAACAATATTTAAAATAAAATGAGCCAAGAACGTTTATCGATAAAACCTGATGACATTGAAATCTTTTGTACAGCACTAAAACCGCCATGTTTTGTGGTCAGATGACGTCACAGTGGCACGAATTTTTGGTTGACGTTTCATTTCCATAGGTTTCCTACTTCATTGGACGCACCGCACGCACGACACGCAACGGATTTTATTTTGCTTTGTATGTTTTCTCATAGTGCTGCGTCCACTGTCCGCGTCGCCCGCACCGAACGCACCGGCATTTATGAGCAAAAAATACAAAGCAAAATAAAATCCGTTGCTTGCGGTGCGTCCGGCGCAGGCCAAGGACGCGTACCTTACATCAGCGAATATGTAGGAAAAAAAAAACACAAACTCAACAAAACACAACTTCAAGTACGGACGTCACATTTCTTATGCAATATTAAATGTAAAAAGTCAATACTCTAAAATCATGTTTTTTGTTTGTAAATGGCAATGAAATTAAAATAATAAATCTATTTCTAAAATGACATGGAAATCTTTTTATAGATCAGTATAAGAAAGAGTGTGTCTTATCTTGACAAATCTTTCGCGATTTATGTATGTAATGAGTTTACATTCCTAGTTGTAAACAGATCTCGATATTTTTTTATAGCTGTGTTTTCTTTGATGATGATTGTATGTTAGAAAAAAAAATTAAGTCGTCTAAAACAGACATACGTATATACAATTAGTGTAATGTTGTGATATACCATAATTAAAAAAATTTAGAATTATTATTTACAAACCTATGCAACGTCCTTTGTAAGCCAGCGGCAAGGCGCGACCACGCTCACAAGCGGCGCGTCTAAGCGCGCACGTGCCCGCATAAGTTTTGCCGTCGACCGCACAAACGAGCGAACCCGCAACATTGCACGTACTACATCGTACGCAATGCACACCAAACTCTGCGTCTTGAATGCACCGCTTGCCTCCACCGCAACGAACGCCATCGCACGAGTCTGAAAATATGTTTTGGTATAATAAAAAATTTAAACACGGTTTTAGGATTCGAATATGTATCGCCAATGAACCAATTTCTGCTAACTTCTGTTTGGATGCTAACGTTAAAAGCTGCTGCTACGTCAGCTGTAGATTGGGTATTTATCGCCGGTTTCCACTATCGCCATTGTTGACTTTAGTTTTCACGCGACTATTTGGTTAATTTTTTAGATAAAAATTTCGATGTCGGAAACTTTCAAACTAATAATGAGTCGTGCTTTCGTTTGTATTGCACTTTGTACACGTCATTAATGTTGTGAGCCGTTTGTGCGGCATTGCTACCGCAGCCGAACTGTATAACCTTACTAGTATTTTTAGCGTGTCCACATTGATGAAAAAGATTACAAATTTAATAAAAAGAAAACAGTACGTAATCAACAAATAAATGACATAATTTGAAATTAGAATTCTATATTTTTAAAATGAAATTGATTTTTCAATCTAGAATTTATTGTCTGCAATATCTACATAAATTAAGTTTCAAATTTACTAATATTGTAAAACGACAACTTCATAGTTAAATACCATATTGTGTACAAAAAAAAGAAAAGATTTTGCAAATGGACTAGTGTGGAACATATGAAGCTTGACAAAAAAAACCGATGTGTTTCTTTGACATTCACACGTCTTGTCGTAAAAACGGAAACATAAAGCCTAATGGAACAAAACAACCACGGTGCTTATCTTAACATATAACTAGCTCTGTAAATATCCCAAAGCTTTTCTCGGTCGATTGTATGATATTGCGGTTTATGGCCCAGCGCTGACCTGAGTCCGGTCTAGAGTCTAGACAGCGAATGAGTGTCCGCTTTATAACTTACCAACTATTTGGATCTATCATGTTCGGAACTCGAACACGAGAATGAATTAAATCAAGCAATCAAAACACAAAGTGTGCTAACTAAATATGCCTGTTGAAATAAATAAATAAATATTTACTAACAATCACGCCACGTTAGCTGGTCTCGTGCTAAGTTCGTACAGAACTTGTGTTACAGGTTACCAGATAACGGAAATAAATGTAAGATTTTTATTATACACATACATATATTTAACACATTATATTTAACACATACACATTTTTTATATTTATTATACAAATATTTTCCCTTGGCGGGATTTGAACCCGCGACCCCCTTGTGTAGTGACCATGTCACTTACCACTACACTAGACGGCCGTTAATTGAACGCAATAATTCAATTTTTAAAGGTTAAGCACCAAACAACGTTTTGTTCGAAACAGTATCCGAATGTATTTAAGACAAGCGGACCGCTCCGGCTCCGCTCGGGTACAAAAATTTCAACGATATTTGACGTTGTTTTATTTTTTAAAACAAAAGAACACTTATTGCGACATAACTATAATAGTAAGACATATGCTGTCGCGACACTTTTTGTAAATAATAATGTGTTCTACAAAGTCGTAGTACATTATTTTATTCTATCATCAATAGTTTTCGCAGGGCACGCGATGTAAAGAATATTTTAGGTATTTTTTTTACACCTTGGGTTACATTATCGGAGTTTTAGTAAGGATCCCTAATTTTTTTCAAAAAAGATTATAACCTATGTCACTCGGGAATAGTGTAGCTTCCAAACAGTGAAAGAATTTTTCAAATCGGTTCAGTAGTTTCGGAGCCTATTCAATACAAAAAACAAACAAATCTTTCCTCTTTATAATATTAGTATAGACAAGGCAATAGTTTATATAAGAGTATCATTGCTTCGTCGTCTGTGTGTGTTGCAATTAGAATTTAATGCAAATCGTCGTATCACTCCGTTGTCGCGTGGGATGACTGCTATTTAAGCTTACATTAGAGTTTATAGCGTGTTCGCGTCCATCTTAATAATACCAAACTCCGGTTTGTTAATTAAAGCATTCTAGTGACACTAAATATACATTCGCGTAACACAAATACATAATGTGAACGTCTTAAAATAGCGGATGGTGTTAAAGAATATATTTAGATGGCAACACCGAGTGCTTTACTGCGGGAATTTCGCGCTGCGGTTTACGGTCTATTCGGTCGTAAAACTCGATGAGTTGTTGCGACGAAGTTTCCAGTTTACTTTACGTCTGTGTTATCGCGAAATATTATTCATTATATGGAATGAGGACGTCTGGGTCGAAAGGGCCGATCGCGGTTGTGGCGGCTCGCAGACTTATGGAACTGCGGATGGCATTGTCACTTTGTTGCACTTATCAACTATCTGTGTGTTTAGTGCGAGTTTTTTAACGTTCTCGATAGCGTAAAAGTTAACTCGTATTTGTATGGAGTTGGAACGTTTGCCGCTAGGGGCGCTGTTCCAACTGCATACAAATATGAGTTACTTTTACGCTATCGATAGCGTTACAAAACTCGCACTAAGCACACAGGAGTGATAATATACTTGCGTTTCTTCGAATGATTTGTGTTTGGAATTCCTTTTCTACGTATGCTATCACAGTATACACACATAGAAAAGAGATAATGTAAAATGTCGACTAACATTTTTGTCACGTTATATTAACGACTTTAAAATCGAAATACAACATTATGGAATAATAAAATGTATTTCCAATTGAGCGAATGCAGTGTAACGGTAGAGGGAGCGTCGAGAGGGCCGGTTCCGTAATTGCCCTCTCCTGACTTGTCAGTTGTCGCACTGGCCAACAATTGTACTGAGAATACAGATCTCTCCTTGTCCATAAAATTTTTTATTTTTGAACGGAGAAAATTGTGACCATAATTTTAAATTTGTAATTCTACTACATTTCTTATAATTCTACTATTTCTTCTACATAACGCAGAAATACAGTTAAATCTGTAGATTTATTTAATACAAAAAAAATACTACAAATGTTTCGAATACTATACAGTTTTCGGGCTCATTTGTTTGTTTCAAAATTTATTTGTTTTTTAGATTAAACTTTGTGTGCAATTGTATAGTTTAAAAGACTTAAGACTCCTAATTGCTAGGTATACTTATTAATTCGTTTGTGTAACAAAACCAAACCATACGAAAACAATATTGATATACCAAGCTAAGCAATAAGTTATATAAAATAATTTGTTACTTTAATTGACATTTCGAGAATCAGTAATGCAAAGCATCTGGCAGATGCCCACACCTCTTAAGTATTCTGAAGGCTATAGATTCCGTGCCTCAGATGATTGTAAATCGTGTTACATTACGCATCTCGTTAAGAATATACAGATAGAGAGATAGTGTTATCGCGTGAGGATTTCCCAGTACTACCACTCCACATCATCTTCGAGAACGATTTTAACAATACCCCGATACTTATCTAGCCATACGATGTCGGGCATTTCACAAGTGCAACCGAGATAAAGTTTCATCATATTCATCTATATATATACAGTCAAACCTGGGTAAGTGAGAACTGGATAAGTGAGAAAACTCTATAAGTGAGAGTAATAGCCATGAACCGTCATTTTAAGCCCCAAAACCTCTATTAGCACATTTTTTTCACATTCCCGTGGGACGTGACATAAAACGTGGTATAACAAAACGCAACTGATATGGAATAACAAAACGAAACTGACAGCTAAACGTAATGTAGTCTATGCTTAATTATAGTAGAATTTTGAAGTTGACCGGTTGATGTGTTAGAAATAAACCGTGTGGCGGAACACAGTTCGCCGGGTCCACTAGTTTAAGATAAAGTTTCATCATATTCATTTAATGTCACTACAGTCGCTTTAGTTACATATTATAGGGTGCATTTAATTCAGAAAAAATATTTCCAAGAGACAGATTTTATGTATCAATACGAATGAAGCTACGTGTAAAAGCTAGTTATTAGTAATACCACATTTTGTTTTTACTTGAAAGTTATTTACGTATCTGTCCATATTAAGAACAAATGATGAAAACCAAAATAACGTAAGGTAAACTAGATTGCGGATAACTAAATGCCAGACTGTTTTGCAAGTTAATGTATGTATAACGATTATTATTGAATATGTTAACGAAAGCAAGTATTATTAATTGTTTACCACGAAGGCCGCGGCTCATTTAGTGTTTAGTTTACACCAGCTATTTATAAGTCATTGCTGCATAATTTGTCTTCTCGCATTAAAACTGTATAATCTCAAAACTTACTAATTTTACAGGAGAGTGTTTTAAAGGTTTAACATGTAATATTTTTTTAACATGTAATAATTATTTCTTTTAAAGTAAGATAAAATTATGTGTCAATATTGTTAATAGCAGTCAAAACATAGGTAAACTAAAAAAAAAACTAAAACTAAGCTACGCTCTTTTGACAGTATTTATGAGAAAAATACTGATGATACCAAGTTTACGTATATTTACTCAATTTCGAATATATTTGAAATTGTTTTAATGCGAAAAGGCGAATTATTTATTTAAAAATTGTATCTATCGTATCGGCTGTCACGTTCAGAATGAGTTTTTGTCGATGATTTCTTCTTACGTTGAATTCAAGTGTGAAACGTGTCTTTAAAGGCGATATATGTTCATTAGGTAAGCGAAGTTTAGTTTTAAATAGAACAAATAAAAGCAAAGATGATTTTTATCGCAATTTTATCCCGTGTGTCATGCCACGCATATTTTTTTATAGTCACGTGGGCAGCGGCATTCCGTAACCGCTTTTCGGCAGGTTCCTGTGATGACAAAAAAGTCGGACCGATTAATTAATTAATCATCATGATCGATGAGTCCAACTGGTCTAGATGTCAAGTTAGAGTAAGCGGTTACTGGAGTCCATGGATATCATAATGTGAGTTCCGCCGTAAAAACTAAGATAATATCATGTCGAAGCTTGAATTTGTGAAGCACAATTCGGACCGCATGACTGCTTCGCTGCAGAAATAGGCCGGTGGCGATAAACTTTTAAGAAGTAAGTGACTACGCAATTTTATAAACTTACCAGTTTGTTTTCTATTACACAGTATTATTCTTTCAATGTGAAATAATTACTGGTGGCTGGGCT